GCAGGGCTGGGAAGACCGCATCCCGCGTACAGGCGCGGCCTTTGGTGAAGCCTTCGCCGCCAGCGAGCAAGCCGCCGACAATCTCGCTGAGATCCAAGAATTCGAAAGAGAAACCACGCGCCAGGCGGAAGAAAGGCGCAAAGCGCAGACCAAAGCGACCAAGAAGAAGAACTTTACCATTTCATTTCCTGCGCAGGTCATGGCGTGTACGAAGCGCCAGTTCCTCGTCATGATTGGGGATCCGCAGTCTCTGGTTGGTAAATGGGGTGGTATCCTCTTCCAAGCCTTGATCGTCGGGTCGCTGTTTTATAACCTGCCCAACACAGCTGCTGGTGTTTTCCCACGCGGTGGTGTCATTTTCTTCATGCTACTCTTCAATGCGCTGCTCGCTCTGGCGGAACTCACGGCAGCGTTTGAATCTCGCCCGATTCTGCTGAAGCACAAGAGTTTTTCGTTTTACCGACCTGCGGCGTATGCGATTGCGCAGACGGTCATTGATGTGCCGCTCGTACTCATCCAAGTGGTGATTTTCGATATCGTCGTGTATTTCATGGCCAATCTTTCGCGAACGGCGTCGCAGTTTTTTATCTCGCTACTTTTCCTCTGGATCATCACCATGACGATGTATGCGTTCTTCCGTGCTATCGGCGCGTTGGTGGGGTCTCTGGATGTCGCGACGCGGATTACGGGTGTTGCGATCCAGGCACTGGTCGTGTATACGGGATACTTGATTCCGCCTGCGAAGATGCATCCGTGGTTCTCATGGCTGCGCTGGATCAATCCTATTCAGTATGGGTTTGAAGGGCTGCTGGCAAACGAGTTCTACAACTTGGACATCCAGTGTGTGCCTCCGTTTATCGCGCCACAGGTTCCGGGTGCTGAGGAGCAGTATCAAGCCTGTGCCATTCAGGGCAATAGACCCGGGTCTCTCACTGTGGCTGGCTCGGATTACATTGAGGCGGCGTTTGGGTACTCTCGATCTCATCTGTGGCGCAACTTTGGATTCATCTGCGCGTTCTTCATTTTCTTTGTGGCGCTCACGGCTTTGGGTATGGAGATGCAGAAGCCGAACAAAGGCGGTGGTGCAGTCACCATCTACAAGCGTGGCCAGGTTCCAAAGACGATTGAAAAGGAGATGGAGACTAAGACATTGCCCAAGGATGAGGAAGCTGGAAATGGCGAGCCGGTCACGGAAAAACACTCTACTAACGACAATGGCGAATCTGATGCGACAGCTGGAGGCGTCGCAAAGAACGAGACTATCTTCACATTCCAGGACATCACTTACACGATTCCGTATGAGAAGGGTGAACGGACACTGTTAAAGGGAGTCCAAGGCTATGTCAAGCCCGGCAAGCTTACAGCGCTGATGGGAGCCTCTGGCGCGGGAAAAACGACCTTGCTGAACACGCTTGCCCAACGAATCAACTTTGGCGTTGTACGCGGAGATTTCCTGGTGGATGGTAAACCGCTTCCCGCCTCTTTCCAACGCTCAACTGGCTTCGCAGAGCAGATGGATGTGCACGAGTCAACGGCGACAGTACGCGAAGCACTGCGCTTCTCTGCCAAACTGCGGCAGCCAAAGGAGGTGCCGATTGAGGAAAAGTACGAGTATGTGGAGAAGATTATTGATCTGCTCGAGATGCGCGACATTGCTGGTGCGGCTATCGGTATTACTGGATCAGGATTGAATCAAGAGCAGAGGAAACGGTTGACGATTGGTGTAGAACTTGCGAGCAAGCCTGAGCTGCTCATGTTTCTCGATGAACCCACGTCCGGCCTTGACTCTGGCGCTGCATTCAACATTGTTCGATTCTTGCGCAAGCTCGCTGATGCAGGACAAGCCATTCTTTGCACGATCCACCAGCCCAGCGCTGTGCTTTTTGAGCACTTTGATCAGCTTCTACTTCTCAAGTCTGGCGGTCGCACAGTTTACTTTGGTGAGCTGGGCCACGACTCGCAGAATCTCATCAAGTACCTTGAAAGCAACGGCGCGGACAAGTGTCCACCTCATACAAACCCAGCTGAGTACATGCTCGAAGCCATTGGCGCGGGAAATCCCGACTACAAGGGACAAGACTGGGGCGATGTGTGGGAGCGGTCCCGTGAGAATGAGAGTCTGACCAAGGAAATCCAAGACATCACTGCTAACAGGCGAAATGCATCGAAGAATGAAGAAGCACGCGACGACCGGGAGTACGCGATGCCATACACACAGCAATGGCTTACCGTTGTCAAGCGCAACTTTGTGGCCATCTGGCGAGATCCGCCCTACGTGCAAGGAATGGTGATGCTACACATCATCACCGGACTCTTCAACGGCTTCACATTCTGGGACCTCGGTCAGAGCCAAATCGACATGCAGTCACGGCTATTTTCGGTGTTCATGACGCTGACGATTGCGCCGCCGCTGATTCAGCAGTTGCAGCCTCGGTTCATCAACATTCGGGGCATCTACAATGCACGAGAGGGCAGCGCTAAGATTTACTCTTGGACGGCCATGGTGTGGGGTACGATACTGAGCGAGTTGCCGTATCGTATCGTCTCGGGAACGATTTACTGGTGCTGTTGGTACTTTCCGCCTGGGTTCCCGCGGGACACGTACACGGCTGCGAGCGTGTGGCTGTTTGTGATGCTGTTTGAGGTATTTTACCTGGGATTCGGACAAGCGATTGCGTCGTTTTCGCCAAACGAACTGCTGGCATCGCTGCTTGTGCCGCTGTTCTTCACCTTTATTGTCTCTTTCTGCGGCGTTGTTGTTCCGTATGCGGGACTGCCGAAGTTCTGGCAGAGCTGGATGTACTGGTTGACACCGTTCAAGTACCTCTTGGAAGGATTCCTGGCGCTGCTGGTACAGGGTCAGGAGATTCGATGCGCCACCAACGAGCTTGCTATTTTCCCGCCGCCGCCTGGGCAGGATTGCCAGAGCTATGCTGGGCAGTTTGCGCAGCAATCGGGCGGCTACGTGGAGGTGCAGCCTAACGGGGATTGTGGCTTCTGTCAGTATGCAACGGGAGAAGCGTTTGCTGCGTCATTTAATGTGTTTCCGCGGTATATTTGGAGAGATTTTGGTAAGTGAGGATTGGTTTTTTCTTTGATTGTGATGCATGCTAACATTGGGCACACAGGCATTATGTGGGCATACATCTTCTTCAACTTTGCAGTCGTGTTCGTGTGTACTTGGCTGTATCTTGGGGGACTGCGGCAGACAAAGGATAAATTTAGCGCATCGGCACGCAAGCAGAAGAAGGAAGCACGACGGGAGAAGGCGAGGACGGAAAAGGGAGATGCGGCATGAGGGTGAAGGGGTAGCAGCGGCGTATGGTTGAGAGAGTCGTGTGTCGTGTGTCGTGTGTGGTTGTTGTTTGAGTGGGACCTCGGGAAAAGTCGTAGCGCACCCGCGGCCGGAACGTGCAAGGCTGGGCCTGCTAGGCGTTGCTGGGCATGAGCGCTGGGTATGCATTTTCCCCGCAAAACACTTTGTGGGCTTCTAGAGCAGCCCACGGCTCACTGTCCTCCATCACGCGCCGTACCTGTTAGTCATGATAACCAGGCCAATACTGCAAAATCCATGATCCCTACTGCGCACGTCATGCATGCTGGCCGCTGTCAGTTGTCTGCCAGCTGGCTTTGGGCTTGCCGAGGGCTATTTTTTTCTTCGCATCCAAAGTCAAAAAAAAAAAAGAAAAGTAAAATGAGATTTGCGGGATTATCAGCAGCCTGTGAAAGGGCTACTCGGCACTTGACACGACACGAGCAAGTGGAAAGGCGGATGGGCCTTGTCCAAATGCCTCAGCTTTTCCGAAGGGGGCGACCAGCGCCCCCATCCGTCCGAGAGCGGTGATTTGTTGCAATGGGGACAATCGTTGCTGGCAGCCCAAACGGCCTTCCATCATCGTGCAGGGGGTTGGTGCATCCAGCGTCGCCCGCAAACCGCACACGAGCTGATATCGGAACAGACATGAGACGAAGGGGTTTTGGTTTGGGCCTGCTTGCACCGCCTCGCATGTGCAAACCATGTCCAGGCACTGTACTGTACACCGCCACTACTACCGACCGCGGTGCCATGTGCTATTTTACTCTACTCGACTCGACTCTATATTATACATACTAGTAGTAGTAATAGTAGTACTAGTAGTACTATGGTACTTGTAATGCATCCATCACTAGCACTGGCACGACGACAACTGCCGGACAGCCTCCGACGGCTGTGAGCAGAGAGGCAGCAGGTGTGGCTGTATCCATGGCAAACCGTGGTTCTCCCCGATTTGAAGACGCCAGACGCCAAAAAAGTCCATGTAATCATCGCAAGAATGCGGGAGCCATGACGACAGGCAGTGCCGCCTTTCCGCTTTGGGGCGGGGTGTGAATGTGGGGTAAATGCATCTCAGCCCGGCCAGGGCCAATGCCAGCCGCTGTATTTGCTCTACTGCGTCTGCCTGCTCGTCTGCCCGCCCCGTTGCCGTCACGAGGGGCTTGCTGGTACGGCGACGGTGTCGTCTGCCACAGCCATGACACAACCGTGACCGCACACGACTGTTTGTTCCGTCCCATCCAGCTCGACCAGAGTAGCAAGCAGCGCAACACGAGCATCCCCCATGCCGCTGCTCAGCCCCAGCCGCTTCAGCCATCCAGCTGGAGCCCGTCATTCCACTTGCCGAGTGCCTTTTCCGAGCATTTCCACCTCGCCAGCCCTGCTCCGCGTTATTTTCGTCCCTCGTGAGCCGACGGGCGCTGCCAGCATCCAAGCACCAGCCCCCAGCCAATCACCGTCCCTTGCGCTAGCCCGTCCCCGGCCCTCGACTGCCAGACGCAGCACCAGCAGCGTCGTCGTCAGAACATCTTCGTCAACTATTAAAAGGACTCAATTCCCCATTATCCAGACTGCAATCCAACCCACTTTGACACAAGACTTTGCCCGTCATCAGGTGTCCAAACAACAGCTTTCCCATTTCCATTCCTCCCCCGTCTCCCCGATTCTCCCCATTCTAAACTTCAACATGGTTTCCCAATCCGTAAACAAGACCAACCTCCACCCTTCTGGTGTTCTGTGAGTTTGGCCCCTTTGTTTTTTACATCAATTGGTTTTCGACCAAGAATTATCATGGCTGACTGTTTTTTTTTCTTTCAGCCCAAGCAAAGGACACACCGAGATTGAAGAGTCGCTCCACGACAAGGCACACATTGACTATGACCGCGTAGCCATTGTAAGTTTTTTTTTCCACCACCAAATATATTTCCACAGCATTCCAGTACTAATCGCATCCCATCAGATTGCCAACCCTTCAGTCGCTGCTCTCTACGAAGATGCCCTCGTATACGAGACCGGTTCCGCAATCACAGCATCAGGCGCTCTCTCGGCATACTCAGGAGCCAAGACTGGCCGCTCACCCTCGGATAAGCGCATCGTCGAGGAAGACTCGTCGAAAAACGATGTCTGGTGGGGCCCTGTCAACAAGCCAATGAAGACTGACGTAAGTCCTTTTCTCCGCACCCCATGTCTGGTCATTACCTTTGCCCAAAAATCGCGCGAATACGTAAAAATGCAAGCATTGGCTTGTGAAGATCAACGTCAAAACGTCATGCACGCTAGGCGCATATCCGAGGAACTTCGCATCCTTGCACGTGGCGCATGTCTGGGGTTCTCGGCTTGCCCCACATTCTCCCGATCGATGCACTCTCCTTTGGGAATACCATCACGTGCTCTTCTCCATACATGATCATGCATTGCATACTGACTCGGCTACCAGGTCTGGCGAATCAATCGTGAGCGTGCTATCGACTACCTCAACACCCGCAACCGCATCTATGTCGTCGACGGTTTCGCCGGCTGGGATGAGCGCTACAGGATACGCGTCCGCGTCGTCTGCGCTCGTGCCTACCATGCTCTCTTCATGCGCAACATGTTGATCCGCCCTTCACGGGAAGAGCTTGAGCACTTCAAGCCCGACTACACCATCTACAATGCCGGTGCTTTCCCTGCCAACAGGTATACCAGCGGCATGACCTCCTCGACCTCGGTTGCCCTCAACTTTGCGGACAAGGAGATGGTTATCCTCGGTACCGAGTACGCTGGTGAGTAGATTTCTATTGTTTCCTTGACGGTCTTTGACGGCTCCTTCCTGCACATCTGGGAGAAGGTGAGGTTCGACAACATCTGGGGGAAGGTGGGGTTCGACAACATGGCTCCTTCCCCCAGAATGGATGGCAAACAAAACATCCTCGCTACTGACGGCAGCTCCTTGCTTCATTCACTCCTCACTGGAATACATTCGCACAACTCTCTCGCTTCTTTCAATCTCAAACACAATGGCTTCCGTCACTTGCGAGATCTTGTTAATCTTGCTTCCCATCCTTTCCTCCGCCCTCAATGTTTCCTGCTGGATTAATCCTCGCTTTCGGGTGGTCCTGCCTTCTGAGGAACGCATCTTCGAGCTCTTCCAGCTTGTAGGCTTTACGTTCACTGATGGACTTCTCGATGTTTTGCGGGCGTCTGCCCCTCCTTCCATCGATTGGTTCTTGTCTCTCAGCCCTGATGTACCTGATAAGGTCTGGGGAATATATGCCATCGTCCTCAAGAAACGACGCCATCTAGATCTGCTCTACATTGGTTCAGCAACGAGTGCCAAGCGAGGAGTCAAGAGCCGCTTCTACGAATACGATGAAAAGAAGCATTTAGGTCGCAATGTTCGCAAAGCAATACTCAATGGCTACAAGATGCATCACAAGGCACTTTTGGCGTGGTGTAGCATACCAAATGCACCCAAGGTACCTTTCTACCGCTCTGTTGTCATCGCTCTTGAAGCTGTCTTTGCTTGTTACTTCTGGGCAATGGCTCACCGAGACCATGACTACGGCTTCAACCACATATGCCCATGGCCACTGGAAATGTTCACCTACGATGGCGCCTGTTCCCACAACCCTCTCAAGGAACCTGCCGATGGAGACATCGAGCTGTCTGAGGAGGAACTGCAAAAGACTGCCGACGACACCAGAGCGAAGAACATCGAGTACCTCAAGGAATACCACAAGAAGCAACGCAAAGAAGCTTCCCCCAAGTTTAAGGCCCAGCAAAAAGGATGGAATGCAAGATTCAGGGCCAAGGCAAAAGCCGAAAGAGCCCAGATTCTCGCCGAGAAGCGCTTCTACTGTGATGACTGCGACAAAATTTATGTTGACCGTCGTGGAATCGTTCGCCACCAACAAGGAAGATCCCATTTGGAAACCGTCCAAGTTCATGACCGTCTTGATACTTTTCTTTCTTCCTTCGAGAACAATGCTAACTTCCCCCAAGGGGAAATGAAAAAAGGAATATTCACTGTCCTCTATTACGAGATGCCCGTCAAGCACAATGTTCTCACTCTCCATTCCTCTGCCAACGAGGGTCAGGATGGCGACGTTACCGTTTTCTTCGGTCTGTCCGGAACTGGAAAGACCACCCTCTCTGCCGACCCTAAGCGTGCCTTGATCGGTGATGACGAGCACTGCTGGTCTGACACTGGTATCTTCAACATTGAGGGTGGCTGCTACGCCAAGTGCATTGGTCTCTCTGCCGAGAAGGAGCCCGATATTTTCGGTGCCATCCGCTTCGGCTCCATTCTCGAGAACGTTGTCTTTGACCCCGTCACCCGTGTTGTAGACTACGACGACGACACCCTGACCGAGAACACCCGCTGCGCCTACCCCATCGAGTACATTGAAAACACCAAGATTCCCTGCATCTCCAACCAGCACCCCAAGAACATTGTCCTCCTTACCTGCGACGCCCGCGGTGTCCTTCCTCCCATCTCCAAGCTGAACCCCGAGCAAACAATGTACCACTTCATCTCCGGTTACACCTCCAAGATGGCCGGTACCGAACAAGGTATCACCGAGCCCCAGGCCACCTTCTCCACCTGCTTCGCCCAACCCTTCCTTGCCCTACATCCCATGCGCTACGCCAAGATGCTCGCCGAGAAGATCCAACAACACAACGCCAACGCCTGGCTCCTCAACACCGGCTGGGTCGGTGCCGGTGCCACCACTGGCGGCAAGCGCTGCAGTCTCCGCTTCACCCGCGCCATCCTCGACGCCATCCACAACGGCGAACTTGCCAACGCCGAATACGAAAACTACGAGGTCTTCAACCTCCAGGTCCCCAAGAAGTGCACTGGTGTCCCCGACGACCTACTCAACCCCCGCAACAGCTGGAACGGCACTGCCAGTCTCCAAGATGAGGTTGAGAAGCTCGGAAGGCTCTTCATGGAGAACTTTAAGAAGTACGAGGATGAGGCTACCAAGGAGGTTATTGAGAGTGGTCCACATGTATGCTGCTGCCCCAAGCACTAAGCTAAGTTCGGGCTTTCTGCTTTTTTGATTCTTTCTTGATTTTCTTACGACTTTTTTTACAGATTGTCTAGCGAATCCCCCTTTTTTTGGTTGTTGTTGTTTTCCTTTAGGACGATAGATGTCCCTTTTTTTTCTTCTGTTTTCTCATTTGGGTTTTGGATATAGGGATGATTTGATGGAAGGGGGGGGGGGGGGAAATACCACCATAGAGGCGGATGTGCGAGAGATGAAAGATGAACGATGGATTTGCTATGAGCATTTTTTTTGTCTTTTTAGTGGGGGTAATTGGATGGGGGGGTGTGGAGAAATGGAAAATTCATTATGATTATGGTTCATTCGTATGACTTTTTTTTTTTGCGTGATTTGGAAGTGATGAATGGCGTGACTATAAAAGTATTTGGCATTTGTATCAAAACATAAGGAATACAAAGTGTTAAGTGTGTAAAATCGAACATGGTATCTTTTTTATTTATTTAAGAAAACAACAGTCTACTTTCTCCTATCGCTCCTCAATCACGCATTGTAATCTTCACTAGTATGTTTATTTCCAGTAAACTGATTTGTCCCCTATAATCCCATACTGATCTATTCCCATATGTCCGCATCTGTCCGCATCTCTCCCCCGCTCATCTCAAAACAACCCGCATCCCCTCAATCACAATCCATTCGGCGCCCCCTTGACCAATTTAAACCCACCAGGCTGCAAATACTGAAACACCTGCTTGGGATCATACTTGCGCGATATCCGTACCAATCTCTCTTTATTCTCTTTTCCATAACTTGCAATCGGGTCCTGAAATTCTGACGCATAGTTCAAATACACAAAGTCATTGTCTAGATTTCTTCTCTGAGCCTCGGCCTTGATGAGCTGGATTGTATTCGCAATGACGGCGTGGAATTTTGGTTCGTCGCCGGGTTTGGTCCAGGCGGCGTTGAAGTTTAGGATGAAGTAGGGACCGTAGAAGGGATCGATGCCGAGGGCGTTTCCGCCGTTCTTTTGCATGGCTTTGATTGCGCTTTCGGTGATGGGCTGGATGGCCATGATGAGTAGGATGTTTTCAACATCGGCGATGGTGGCTTCTTGGGTGTAGAATGTTTCAATTATGAATTCGAGAAGTTGTCTATCCATTTTCAGACTGATTCCCCACCATGTTTGGTAGGCGCCTGGTCCGGGAGCTCCTTCGTTGAGAAGATTAGCCATGCCTGACATTGGGCGAAGACCAGTGGTGTCTTGGATGGCGGAGATGTTGTTCCAGCTAGAAAAGATTGAGGCATTGGCAATTGGTTTGGCGTAGTGCAGGTTTGCGAAGGCGACTTTGCCGATGCCCGGGGCGCTGGCGAACGTCTGGTGACATTAGCACCATATGTCAAGGCAGTGGTAAGCATGTACACTTACAACAATCTGTGCAGCATCTTCATCCTTTACTGATCCCGTTACGGTGAATTCGTGAATCGCGTCGAGAACAGCAGGAAAGGAGTTTTCCAAGTAGACGCGCTGACCTCCCCACATGTCGCTCAGCGGGAAAGCATCTAGTTTGAAATTTGTCACAATTCCAAAGTTGTTACCTCCACCTCTTAACGCCCAATATAGATCAGGGTAGGACGACGCGCTGACATCAATGGGAATGCCCGAGGCAGTAACCAGCTCGAAACTTGCTACATTGTCACATGCCCACCCACGCTTGCTGGCGAAATGGGAAATGCCGCCTCCGAGAAGGAGACCAGGTACACCTACAGGTGCCATCTTAACTAACCGTTAGCAAGAAAACAACGCAGAAAATAACTGTATAAACTTACTCGACCTCCTGCAACACTAAGCCCATCTTTCTCAATCGCAGTATACACATCTATCCAGCGAAGCCCGGGCCCAATATCCGCACTCTGCTTATCCGACGCTACGGCTACTTTCCTAAAATTTTCCATGGAAATCGTAATATCATCTTCAATACTAGAAGCTCCAGCCCACGCTGCATGGCCACCGCCCTTCACCGCAAAAGGACACTGGTACAATCTTGAGATGAGAACTACAGTAGACACATCTAGCGTCGACTTGGGCTTAAACACGCATGAGGGACGAAGTGCGCCTTGTTGAGCAGACCAATATGAGCTTGTGAAGTTGTTGTATGCAGTTGCGTTTTCAGGTAAAACTTGGTCGGGGCTGAAAAGTATGGATAAGGCTGTACACTTGGAGGTTTCTTAGCGCTTGGTAAATTTCTTTCAAAGTATGAGGATAACTTACCGCATGTGAACATTGCGCGGCTGAAGATCGCGAGGTGAGTATAGAATCAGACTCTGGGATTTTCGAAACATCGACGCCGAGTTTTTCGAGAGCTGCAGTGACGTTGAAATCTTGGGGCTCGAAGATGGTGTTACTGTCTTGTGCGGTTGCCCTTGCGGCAAAGGCTCCCAAGGGGAGGAGGCTCCTGACTCTCATGTTGACGTGATTTGAGAAGATTACAAAGGGATTAGCAAATCCTCTTGTTCATTCCAAAGGCAGGCGGTGAATTGGAGGACAAAAGGTTTCAAGGCTGGGTGCTCCTGGCATAAAGTGTTGACCTGCGAGGCGAATACACTCCATATGCAGGTCCCTCAAGACAAATGAGATTCGGCTGCATGTGAGATTGATTGGTGGATCGACGCTGCTGTACGAGGAAGGTGGATAGATGCTGCATGTGGCGTGGTCGCAGGATGGGTCTAGAAGAAGTCAAGTGCACAACCCCGGTGCGTGCCGTTCCTGGCCTGGTCTAGCGGGGTTGAGTGACGCCACGGAGGACTGAACACAATCGCTGGTTGTAATACAACGTTAGCTGACATGTTAGGCAAGGGATGGAACTAGGTCTATTGGTTAGAAGAATACAACCTACGAAATGGGAATATGAAAGGGATGACAGTGATGAACGATATTAACTGGTGGCAAAATCCCAGGTGTGTGTGTGTGTGTGCAGAGAACAAAATCCATTCATCTTCGAGGCATATCACGAGATCTCAAATACTAGTAAAATTCTGCCTATGCAGCTAGGGAAGTCTGGAGGACCACTGTGATAGATTGGAAAATGCATTCGCAGCTAGTTTTAGCAGTCATTTACTACAACACATTAGTTAATCACCCACAACTAACAATACAACGCGCAAATCAACCCCACACCATAGCGCGAGCCACAATTATACCGTGCCACAAAGCAGCATTTACCACCACTTTAATCGCCTCCCCCAGCGCTTCCGCGGATATCACTCCAATGAAAGTTAGCTCTCAAACCACACTCCCAGCTCAACCTGATACCAACGCCTCCCCATATCCCCATATCCCTAGACTCAAGATACAAAACTACATCCTATACCGAACCCTTCTTGCCATTCCACCAACACTGGCCCCATCAAACAAGGTCAGCCCATCGCCATGGCATCCAGCGAACTGCACGACGTCGTCTGGACCAAGACGAAGCCACCAGATACGCTCAGTAGATCCCGCCTCGACGGCGTTAACATCGCCATGCTCACCCTTGCTTCCTTCATCTTCGCCACTCGCACTGTTCTTCGGATCGTTGGGAAAAAGGCAGCGGAGGCGCAGGATATCCTTAGTTATATGGCGTACGTGTGCTACGTGCTCATGGTAGTCATGTATCTGCAGGAAAACGATCCTTTGTATCGTGCTGAGAGTGTGCTGAGAGGGGAGAGACCGGCGTATCAGGGAATTTGTGAGTGTTTTGTTATGTCTCTTTTCACTTAGTTGGATGGGGTGCGACTGACGTGTGGGCTTGGCTGTAGTACATGATGCGGGGATGGTGTATAGGTGGATGACGGCTGGACAACTCTTTTTTTATGCAAGTCTTACCTTGGTGAAACTCTCGCTGTTAGCGTTTTACCAGCATCTAGTGAGTAAGGCGGGTCCCAGGTATGTTATCATCTGGTGGGCTGTTTTAGGATTTTGCGTCTTGGTGAGTATTATGACCGGATCACTCTCACTGGAAGTTCATTCATAACGACGCAGTCTTTTATCGGGAGCTCGTTGACTACGATCCTCTTGTGCGACGATCAAAGGGCAAAGTATAACCAAGGCATGTGTGCCAAGCCGCACGAACAGAGGCGCGCCCAGTTCAGCTTGTGGTTTGCGTATGCGGTGGATGTAGCAACTGATCTTGCAGGTACCAACCTCTCCTTTCTCTGGCATTCTTTGCTAAACTGATGCTCTAAAGTCATGTTTCTTCCATTCCGAATAACTTGGAACCTTCGTCTTCCAGGAATTCAGAAGGCTGGTATTTTTGTACTTTTTGGCAGCGGCTGGATATGCATTGTAAGTGAGCAAAAGTCGAGTTTGTGGAGCACAGTCCAACTAACTTTGTAATCCAATACTAGCTGTTCGCAACTCTCCGTGTTGTCCAAGTCAGTACAAACAACGGCATCCCAAAAATACCCGATCCGAAGTGGCTACAAATGTGGACCATTATTGAGACATCAATGGGTGAGCACTGGTATCCACTTGGTTCAATGGGATCGGTGATCTGACAGAATACATATAGCTGTGATAATTGGATGTGGTCCCGCTTTCAATGCGCTTTGCCCCCGATATCGTGCTCAGAACGCACGAAGACGCCCAATTAATTTGGAATATATCAAAGAGCCTGATTTAGCAACTAGGTCCAACAGAGAAACTAGTCAAATATGATGGTCCAACACTGTTACTGCAGCTTTAGCTCGATATTTTGAGTAGTCCCAAGCGGGGTTTCCGTGCCCGAAGAAATGCGTTCCAATTAGCTGTAAGAACCTCTACTCTTATTAAATGCAGCCGTGCTAAGATATTAGGAACCTCTGACTTCGACTAGCATCAAACTACGTGACGAATACCGGAATCTTGACTAGATCGCCTCCTTCTGCTATGGCTAATGAGGACTGCATGTGGAGCTTGTAGCACTACAGGCGAACCAACCCCAAACTTATCACATCATGAGAAATACCAGGATCGTAAGAAAACTCATCGTCAAGGATATTCATAAAATGCTCAAAGGAGGCTAAGGGTTTGACTATCGCGTTACTTTCTTAACCCAACCATGCCTCAAATCAAGGCACCAGCGTTCATCACAACCTCTTCCTTCCGGCGCCGAGCCTCGAGCTTCTTTTCCCTTTGTTCATAATAGGCCTCTCTCGCCAGTCTATGTTCTTCTTTCTTAACTTCGTATTCTGCCTTTCGTCGCTCGTATTCCCGCTGTTGCTTCTTCTCAGTCTTGATATCGTGTTTGATCTTCTTATGCTCAGTCGAGGAAATGTGCCATGGCTTGGCCAGTACGTTTTGCTTGAAAGCAGCGGTTTCTGCCCATGCGCGTGCCTCTTCGTCTGTTGTTGTGATGAGTGAAACTCGTTTCAATTCCAGCTGCTTTATGCCTCTAAACTCTGATATGGTGCATTTCGCTTTAAGGACGGATCCAATGTCCAAGGGTTGCTTGTCTACTGTAACGTCAAAGACGCCAAGCCGACTGACGACTTCAACATTTTCAATTTCCGTGGGCGAGGAAGTGTCGACGGGATTCTTCTCTGCTGGGATCTCCCGCACAATCTTCAGCTCGATAATGGCTCCGCTTCCGTCATCGATGGTGAGGACTGTATATTTGAGGTTGATATCATCGATGGCTACAACAACGCCGACTATGCGAACATATCGAATAGGATGATTATGGTAGAAGTAGATGCGCTGTCCTGCGGATATCTCAGCGACAGTTGGGTGTTATAAGATAGTGGCGGCTATCACCTTCAAAGTCCTTCTCAGACCGGAGAGCATGCACATCGGCAACAGTGAGCTTCACCCATGTATTGAAGGTGGGAGATGCACCAAAGCAATAAGCGGGATACAGTCGATAGAGGCGCGTCGGCCGGAGCGTTGACATGTCATGTTGTGGTGACGATGCCCAAGGTGGGATGGAAGCGAGGCTCACGCGACGCGCACAGAGGCACGCCCCGTTTACGCTATCACGTGATTCTGTCGAGTCGAGGGGCTAAACTTGTTTAGTAACCCCACCTTACCGGATGATCCGCGCACATGGACTTCACCATACCTAGCCATGCATGCGCCTCACTATGCCACACCATCCGACACTGCCGCTCCCAAGGCCGAGGCTTGCGCAGACTTGCAGGGAGCAATCCAGGCTTTTTCGTATCGCAAAAGAGTCAGCTTTGGGCCCTGGGTACCCTCTTCCTGCCACGCAGTTTACTCCTTGTAGATGTTGGGCGGCAAGCATGATTCAGGATCCACCCGACCACGACAGAACCAGCGCACCTCAACACCGCCGTTTCGTCGTCCACCGCAAAAAAAGCAATGAACTCGGCCCACTGAATATTGTGCTAGACCCGCGATGCAGTCAGGGCTGCCGATGATGCGCGTCCCCACCAGGCGCCGGCATGATGCTGTCTTCCGCGACCAGTTAGCTCCATATGCAGCAAGCTTCGGAGCTATCCCAGCTCTTTGTAGAGCTTCCAAGGCCATAGTCCGCCCAGTTCATAAGCAAGGTAGCAGCCCTGGGTTGCGCGCCCGACTGACTGTTGGCTCCCAATCCTCTTCTCTCCTCGAGTCCCGGCTTTTTTCGAGTCGCAATACTAACCCGACCATTTTACAGCAAATCGCATAGTCGCTTCGTTGTTGTGAGGACTCGTTAATCCCGTCTCATCCTCTTGTCAGCCTCTGCCCTCACTAGTTAGCGCAATGCGATTCCTTACGCCATGGAGCCTGTTCTTGTCGTCGCTGACGGTCTGTACTGCGGAGCCGATCGCAAAACCAGAAGCTGTACCGCAGCAGTACACAAATAATGCGCCTTTCTCTGGCGCGGTGTATATTGTGAATCCAGAGGGACAGCAAGTTGTCGCACAAGATCAGAATTGGTGTCCGTCGTCCGCCTCAGTAAGCTGTAGTAATGTCAACCACCCTAGTTGGTAAGTAGTAGAAGAAGCATGTGCAAAAGTGGTCCCTTTTGCTGATCAGGACCAGGTGTTGCCCGTCAAATTACCAATGCGCCGTTCCCGCCAACTCCAACGGATTGATTGGCTGCTGTCCAAACGGAAACCAGTGTGGAGGAGTCGTCAACGTCGCGCAAATCACTACGGTGACGGTATACCCTCAGCAGCAAACAGTCTACGCTGTGCCACCACAGACCACGGTGTACCACCAACCAAACCCTGCGCAAGGCGGCTTCTGTGCCACCATCACTATGAACGGGCCGGATCTACCACGAGCTGAACAGGGCTCATGTGGCACAATCTTGATCGTTGCGGGAGCACCAAGCTTGAAGGTGCTGAGCGCGGGTGCGGGCATCGTTGCATTCTTCATGCACTTTGCGCTAGGGAGAATGTTCAACGGAGCATAATCAGATAGACAGTAACCGCGATTACGATTTTACGAATTACGAATACATGTACTTCGATCATAGGTTACCCATCTTTGCATCTTCCTCATCATCCTTTGGTACCTTGATCAAAAGAGGTACCGAAACAGCATTCAGATGCCGGAAAGCCTATCAAAAAGTTGTCAGCAAGTCTAATTCATGTTAATAAACTTCTTCAATCAAAAAAAACTCACATTCGCAATCGCATTCTCCGGCAACTTCCCATTCCACTTATCCTCAAGCTTCTCAATCTTGCCCTCACTATCCAAATGAATCACAACCTCACTCTGAATAATCTGCTCCTTGCCAATCCCCTTGACCACATATCTCGTCTTGAGATCCATCAGAATAGGGTTCCCCGCATCTTTGACCTGGTGCTCCAACCGCTCGATCTCCGAAAACGCGGCTTTGAGTCCGTACCACTGTGCGGCGTACTTGCCGCGGCCCTGGGCAATGGTAAGAGGGTCCACAAAGGTGGCGTCGTCGCGCCACAGCGACAGTTTGCGTAACGAAGGGCGGCCCGCGAAGAGGTCTAGCACCGAGCGTACGACTGTCTGCTGCGAGTCGCTAAGGGTGACGCCAGGTGCGGTTTGCACGTCCTTGGTCTCAATGTTGATGTTTGAAGCTGAAGTCGCCATGGTTACTCTGCTGGGTCTGAGAATGCGAGTGCACGCGGGTGTAGTAAATGTTCTGAGTGTTTGGCTAGGAGCTGGGCGGATGTAGCTTAGCATTGTGAGAAGGCAAGTGAGATTTGCCGGGGTAAGAGATTAGAATTAAATACTATATGTCCCGTACCCAAGAGACTTTTTTTTCGGGATTGCTCCGACCACGTGTGTTTGTGAAACGCGTCATATCGGAGCATTGAGCACGATGGGTTGCTTGGTAGGTGTGCGTTCTTTGGTTGCGCAGTGCGTCTTCATCGGTGCTGGTGGTGGGATGCATTCGTGTGGAAATAGTCATGACGCCATCGGTCTTCCCAGGTGAGATTGAGCCAGACGATCTCGAGAACGCGGGGATTCTGTGAGCGGAAGCCTACTGCCGATGCGGGATTATACATTTGGATTTTACTGCTATTGTGGTTTTGGAACTACAACTGGCGCTCTAACATTATGTGTATGTTAGAGCTACTACGATCGTATTGATCGATTTCCTTCGGCGCTTTCCCGTTGCAATTTGCTCATGTCATGTGAAGATCCGATTACATGCATTACACTGGTAGATTTGAGCATTCTAACATGCAACAATCACTTATTTCACATGGCCTGCAGTAGCGACTTCCAATATCCGATCCTCCAGGCCAGGTACATGAATACATTCGACACCATTTTCCTCCAGCTTCTTCCTTCCCTGATTCTCGCCAACGAACTTTTCTGGCTCCTTGACGCCTAGGTAGACCCTCTTGATTTTTTGCTCCCCATTTGCTCCCTTGGTTCGAATGATCCGGTCTGCGCACGGCAAATTGCCACTTAGTCGAAGGTTGCAAGGCTCCATAGTAGTGTATATGGAGGTATTTGGAGGAAGGGCTTCGCCAACCCGTTCTTCTGGCAAATTGTGTTCTTTGGCAAACTTCAAAAGACAGCATTGCTCTGCATGCGTATTGCCCTCGCATTCTAGAGTGTAGCCCCTTGATAATATCGTGCCAGTATCTGCATCGACCAATAAGGCGCCCACTCGAAAGTTTGAAGGCTTTGGCGGTGATTCCTGCGCTTGATCAAGGGCAAGGCGCATGTACTGGAGATGGTCGTTTGGATCTGGGGCAGGCAAAGGAGGCGTCGGGCCATCCCAGTCGAGTAACGTTGACATTTCTGGCGAGGGAAGGTGAGTGAAATAATGCATGTTCTGGTCAACAGGTGATAGAGAGAACAGTGGGGCTAGCTAACTCCGCTAAGTCCGCGCTCACTGTCGCGTCGCGTCCCTCGATTTACCAACCTAGCACTGCTTCACTTCCCATACCAACACAACAACAATCAAACAAGATGGCGAGGAAACAACGCAAAAATACAGAGGCCGAAGATCCCATGGAAGAAGACTTTACCAACGACCATGACAGCGAAGGCGAAGAGCATGATCTTGGTGACGAAGGCCCACCTACTATTGACCCATATGAGGTTCTGGGCCTTGAGTCTCAAGCAACAGCGGATGATGTGAAAAAGGCATATCGTAAAATGGCACTCAAGTGTCATCCAGGTGCGCTTCCTTATTAGATATCTACTTCCTCCCCTACTGACAATTGCAGACAAGGCTGCGCCCGATGAGAAAGAAGCCGCCAACAAGGCCTTTCAAGAGATCGCATTCGCATACGCAGTACTTTCCGACGACCGAAGGCGTAAACGTTATGATCTCACCGGCAGTACAGCAGAGAGCCTGGAAGACGACGACGACTTTAACTGGCTTGACTTCTTCCGCGAGCAGTTTAGGAATATCATCAACGAAGAATCTATCAATAAGATTTCTGATGAATACAAAGGTAGCGAAGAGGAGCGCAAGGACTTGATCAACGCATTCAAGAAGACCAAGGGCAACCTGAACAAAGTATACGACATTGTCATGCTATCAGATATCTTGGTGGACGACGAGCGGTTCAGGAAGATCATAGACGAAGAGATTGCCAATGGCACGGTCAGCTCATATCCTGCATATGAGAAAGAGACGGACGAGACGCGCGAAAAAGCCAAGGATGCAGAGAGGAAGAGGCGCGAAGCCTTTGACAAGCAGCAGGCTCAGGAACAAGAAGAGAAGGCGGAGCCTACCAAGGGAAAAGCAAAGGCAACGGCAAAGGCAAAACCCAAGAGCAAGAAGAGTGGCACAGATGACATGGCAGGACTGGCGGCGCTGATCCAACAACGACAAAAGGCACGAGCAGGCAACTTCTTTGATTCTCTTGAGGCCAAGTATGCACCCAAATCACGAGGCTCCAAGCGATCCACACCCATGGAGGAACCGCCTGAGGAACTATTCGAAGCCAACCGAAAGAAGCAGAAAACGAACAGCCGGCCGAAAAAGAAGGCCAAACAAGAGAGTGAAGATGAGGTGATGGAGTCTGGGGAAGAGGATATTGGCGATTCTGAGGAAGAGAAAACACCGCCTCCAAAGAAGACGAGAGCGAAGCGGAAGGTGAATGCGTGTGGGCGGGCTTAGCTTTTGTGTCTCGGCTCAAACTCTACTTTGCGAGAACCTATCACAGTGATGGGTGCAAGGCATTTAGAATGAGATACATCATCCATACTCTATTGCAAGGAAGGAACTTTGGAAACTCCCCTTCTTCACGACTTTTATAGCAGTGACTCTGCCCCATACAGAGTTTAACAAGGCAACTAGAAAAGACTTCGCACATCGCAATTGCCTGTGCCATGCTTAGCTGAACTTGACTTTCTACTTTAGCATCACAGTTCCTACCTTGCCTCTCTCATCCCATGGGTACAGGATATCTGTTAACTGGCTTTCTAATTCCGCCCGCGCTTCACGTTCACAGTTTACCATCACATCTTCTTCCCTCTCATTCACATTACCTTAGCGTACCCCGATAGTCACTACAGTAATAAAGGCTGCGCCACTACTAATGAAACAAACGAAAGTCACAAAAAGCGAGCAGTGAAAGGACCCTTTCCAGGTCGTGTGGGGACTTGTGAATCCAACTCCAAGCTCATTCACTCTACAACAGCCCATCAGTAATCAACAAGCTCACTTTCTCTGTCACCCCGCACGAATACTCTCTTCACCATGGTGAATAAAAGAAATATCAAAGCCGAGGTGAGTTTGCTCTCAGTATCACTGAGACACAGATTGACAGAACCTTACTAGATGAGCTTTTCTGATCAACAACCAAACACCAACCGCTATAGATTCATAGCACCAATGGCCCATATGACTCCATCGCCAGACACTTCTACGAATGAAACAAACGACACCAACAGCAGCGTAAGTACACCACATCCGAACAACTAGTCGCAATCACAAGGCAACTCTGAAGCCCTGCCTTGCAAACGACAAGCCAGAAACAAACTAACAGTAACACAGCCCACCCAGCAGCCCACCAACCGGCACTTCAACGGCTCCATCAGCCTGGTTATGAACGAGTCTCTCAATCAGACCACCAACTCACCAACTCGCCAGCCCTCACTCGATTTCTCTTCTCCTTTCTTCCCACCAGACCCACCAGTCGCACCAGTCGCACCAACTCACCAGTCCTCGCCCGACTTCTCTTCTCCTTTCCTCCCACCACTTGCATCAACACCAACACCAATACCGACACCCGCACCGCCACCTCCACCTCCACCGCCCACAACCACCAACACCCTAAACACGAACCTCCAATCCAACATCCTCACCTACGTCCTGCAATCAAACCCCCTCCTCATCCCCACCACCCTATCCCGCAATGCCCGTCTCACCAGCACACGCATCAACGACATCGCGCACGCCATGTGGAACGTAGCCTTCACGCACGACGACCCACTGCAGCGCGCATGCCAGTACGCCGCCATGTTTTCGCCGCTGAAGCTGGCCGCGCTGGCGAAGCTGAATTTCCTGCCGAGTTGGTGGTTTTTTCGCGATTTGGCGCTAAAAGGGTTGCAGGAGAGGGGCTGGGAGGTGGATGATGCGGAGATGGAGGAGACGTGGGAGGAGGCTGTTAGGTGGTGTGTTGAGGTTAATGGGAGGAAGGGGGGCAAGTAGGGGGGTGGGAAGGGGGGAGAAGTTTGTTGAAAGTGTTGGGGTTGAAGGCGTGGATCTGGGGATTAGGATTGGTGTAGAAAGCGTGAGTTTCGGTGGCTTTGTAGAGACGGGCTTTGTAGGAGTTATGGGTTTTTGAGTCAATTACAAAGAGTGTGATACGTGAGCATTAAGCCCGATCAGAACACCAGTAAGATGCAAGTCCCATGGTGACGAAATCTTGTTCATAATCACCGTATCCATACAAAAGCATTAAAACTAGGAATAGTCGTAAGTAGAATCAAAAGTGTTTATTTCATTTAGGTATTCGAAATCTTCCAAGACTAAACATACTGCCTCTAGCAAGATTATTATGGAAGCTGGCCCGCAGCTCGAGTTTTGGGGGTCCTTCGGTTTGCTGGTGAACCGATACCGTCTGCAAGATCTGGCCGTCTGGCGTAGTATTATGCGGCGATATGTCGTCTTGAATGACAATTTTTGGAGTCCGGGGGGCGCTGCCCCAGCCCGCTGGAGCGGGGCCTGTGACGTGTGAGGTCATGATTCCCATTTCCGTAGGCACGAGATCCGATACGCTCAGGCTGCGGCGGTAATCGCGGCCTTTTCTGGGGTACTCGAAGGATGTACTTTGCTCATATGGTGCGTCTGCGAAGCCGAGAAGTTGCAGTATGTGGTATACTAGTGGTCGGTAGGTTGCGATGCTGCTTGCGACGATTCCTATACCAGGTTCCACTGTGCTCCATATGGCGACATCAGTTGTAGCATCTAGAAAGCGCAGTTAGCAAATGAAAGGCCACTGTTTTATATGACGAAAAGCGGTAATGCATACAGAGAAAATCAGTGCCGTCATAGAGTGTGTGTATGTATCCCATGCGGACGACGGTGCCTGTACTCCCACTATTGGCTCATTAGCACGTGGTAAGCTGTCAATACGGACAACATACATAGCAGCAAACGCGAGGATACACGCAACCACGATCTTCGTCTTCGTTTTCATGTTCAGGCCCCAGACCATCCAGAAAGGAAGTAATCCCAATATCCAATCGGCCGTGGCGTTGATAGCAGCGAGAGCGTAACTGATACCTAGAGTTGGGCCTTTTGGTATACATTTTTCTGAAGCAGGATGTATCTCCCAAAATGCCGAGACTGAACATCATCAACACAAATGACATACAAGTCTTGAGTCAAGACTTACCAGGAGAACACTGCAGCATGACCAAAAACAAGTAAATCAAGCAACAGAGGACAGTGCCTCCCATCAGTATCCTTATACACCAGATGTGGTTTCGCTTGACAGCGACTCGGAGATAGAAGTATCCAATGGAGAACTTGAGAAGGCCATTGGTCACTACATACATGACTTCACACAAGTACCAAAACTATCTTGAGTCAGTAGGTGGGGTTGAGACAGAAGGCAAAGGACTGACTAGTAGTGCGGTCTTTGCATTGTGATCGCTTAGACGCCATCGATGCTGACCAGTCCCATGTACCGCTGCAACGATCTGGAAGCAGAGGTAAATAGTGAACACTAGCTGTAGAGTTCGGTTAATGTCGCAGCATTGTCAGGCGGGCAGTGTACGTACCTGTGTTGCAACCATGTACGAGTCATCTTTTCCCCATATTGTTCTCAGACATAGGCGTACATAGACTCGCAAGCAGACAGTGACCCATGTCAAGACGAAGAAAAGGACTGCTACGGCGAGGACCTCTTGCTTCCGGTTATCGGATGTCATGGTGGTGTAGCTCTTCGTTCGATTATCGTCAGTTGTCGAGCTTTGTGGATCACGCGTCGTGTCATGGTTCGCTAGAAAAGGTCCATGTTAGGAGGAAGAGGTATTTTCCAAGAGGGTCCTGAGGGTACAAGACGGGGACGTGAGGAAGAGTAGCAGGGTTATTAGACAGACACTAAAGCCTCGGTTTCTTTACCGCGTGACCCAGCCAAGCGGTACATTGCTTGGACTAGGATGGCAAAGGCGCTGTGGACCTCGGAGGCCTAGTAACGGAGATCTCGTTCATCACTGACTCGTGGGTGGCATGGACTGAGCAATACTTGTTTCCCGAGTCATTATAGTGACCTTGATCAGCGCCACATTAGCCGTATACACAGGCAGATGGGCAATGATGAACAGCTCATATGAAAGAGGCGCATTGGTATACAGACGTGGGGTACAGGGATTAGACGTTGAGGCAAGGTGCCAGAAAACGACTGCCGAAAGGTGATTGTTTCATAAGAGGGAACTTTGTATAGTAACCTTTTCCTATCCACACTGTCAGAATGCTGACTGTGGGGGTTGTGAAACAGGCTAGGAAGAGGTACCACAGCAGCAAGGCGGGCTTGGTACAATTGAGAGGCTCCGAGGCGAGTATGGAAAATCTCAAATGTTGGGCTTCCTAGGTGATAGCGCAGTTAGAACAAGCTTGGTGTTGGGGTACGTAAGGTTAGTCTGTTTCGGCAGATTTGAGCAAGGCGCCAATCAATCTACACAGGGATGACAGCGTGGAGACGTGGGTTGCTCATCACCGCCCTGAACAGGGCGACATGCCGTCGCGGCCACAAAGCATGAGCTACGTTGGGAGGCTCCGTGCCGCGTGAGTGGTGTTGTCAAGCAATTTAGCGTTCCGGTAGTCATGAATGCCGGAGCCAATGCAGCAGGCCGGGTTCTTGCGGATGATTACTAGTCAGCTGCAAAGCAAACCTTACGTACCCTACTCTCAGCTGGCTGGGGTAATCTCCGAACTCTCCTCCTGACTTTATGAACCCAGCAGAATAACTAGCAGCCTCTCCCAAGCCTCATGTCAAACGTCTTGCTAGCAGGTCTCGGAGCTTGTCGCACCTTGCATCATGTGAATACAATTGACGTCACCAACCCTGACGAGAGCCGCGAGCAAATGTCGGCCTCGCACAGTTACGCTCTGCTTGCTCTGCACTACTATCTTTGCTTGCTGTTACCGGATACTCATCTCCAAGCAGATATGAATCACAATCAAGATGGCAGCAGGCAGCGATGCGGATATTGGCCATCAGCAACAGCTTGTCGGGTGCCTGCACCTTGATGGCAAGCCGTTTGCTGGCTTGTCTATTGTTTCTGCTTGCTGTCTCAAGCACAGTCGTCCAATGGCGAATAAATCGGACCTCTGATTTCTGCATTTTAACTTTCGTTTCCTATCCAGTCATCATATTCGCAATCTTTACTTACCAGTATAGCACATATCGTTTCCACCATGGCCACCCAACACCAGAACATCTGTCCGTTACCAGGAGATCTCCGTTTCTATCTTCTCCGCGGAAATACCATGGTGCCACTCATACCAGCCGATCAGCTACCATTCCAGCTCAAGGGGATTCCGCGGCAACTTACGCATCGTCAAATGTCAGACCAGGGCTGGAAGCTATTCAAGGAGACAAAAGACGCGCTCTCTATGCTTTCAGTCCAAGCACCCATTTCCAATGATGGGCCCTCGCACTGCTCTCCGGATGGGAAACCTCAATATCTCGCGCCCGACCACAATGTCCGGACTGAATCGCAGAACACAAACACAGCTCTCAGTCACCCAGGCCGGTTGTCGCCGCAATCACCAGCACTTGGTACATATGAGAACCTCGGCACACCGTCCACCACCGGGGTCGAACGCCAGTCGTCGCTAGCCGACGCCGTGGCGTCTGTGTACCATAGGGAAGCCCAGCGATCTGGGTACAACAACGCTAACCCCGGCCCAGAACCCTCGAAAAAAGTATATTGTACACACTGGATTGCAACCGGCGAATGCAGATGGATGCACACAGGGTGCAAATACAAGCACGAAATGCCTGGGACCGAAAAGCTTCGCGAACTAGGTTTCACCCGCGGCACCCCCAGGTGGTGGAGGGAACGAAATGCAGTGTCTCCTGCCAAGCCACTAACTTGGATGCAGCGCAAAGTAGGCGGAGGAGCAAGCAGCGACGGTCTAGAGCCGCCTGCTGAAAACATGCCTCCTCCCGCTCGTTCATTTCCAGAACCGCTACCATTCCGCACTCGCAGACTCCAAGACCGATATGCATCCAGCGGCGAGATACACAAGATCGGTGGCGTTTCCAAGCGACCGGAGCACTCAACTGCCAAATCGACTATAGTAGTACTGCCCCCAACCCCCAACCTCATAGACCTAGACGACACGCCCGTCATCTCCCCACCTAGCCCCTCGCAATCCCAAACCTCGACCGCTGAATCAAGCGAGACTCGCTCCCCTCTTTCCTACGCCTCCTACTTCACTCCTCCGACTTCTCCCGGACTACCCCGCAAATCCCCGCTTACCAAGCCTCTACGTCGAAAAATAGGGCTTGTGTCGTCGTCATCGTCGTCGTCGTCTTCTTCTTCCCCCAGTTCTTCTTCGCCGTCGTCATCGTCTCAGGAAGATGGTTCGGATACTGAGACTGAAACTGATACTGATGACGTTCCTGCTGCCCCTGTTACTACTACTACGCATCGACAGCGCCGTTCTAAGCGCGATGCTAGTGCTCTGAATGCTATGTCAGCTGCCAGACGTGTGACGGGGAATGAACCAAAGCTTGGTCTTGCTAGTTCAAAGTATGCGGTTAAGATGTCTGGGGTTCAGCGACAGGTGCGTGGGGAGGTTGGTGGGCGGAAGGGATGAGAGAGGTGTGCGAGGAGAGTTGAAATGTTTATTAGAAGTGGATTGGTTGGAGGAGTTGTAGTGTGAGTAAGTAGATGGGGTAAAAGAAAAAGGGGAGTATAGATTTTGCATTTACAAGGTTCGACTAGGTTCTTTTTCTCTCGTTAGATAGATTGGGGGGGGGGGGTGTATATGAAATTGTATTCAATGCATGATACAATTATTTCTTATTCTCTGCTCACATATCTCCTTTTGCTTTTGAACAAAATTGATTTCCACTTCAACTCCATATGTACCTTTGCTAAACAGCCTTCAAAGAAGATTGACCTAATAACCTTTGCTTCATACAAACATACATGCATGCATACATACGCCTTTGTCCTCTCCGCCCTCCTTCCAAACTGAGAAAAATCACAACGACGACGATGATGATGATGATGAGGACGGAATGCCGCTTGCTTCATATATACCAAGAATAGAATAATAATATAAAATAAAAGGCCCACAAAGATAGATTGGAAAAGAAATACGGAAAAATAGGGGACCACGGGAGTACCATATATAACCCCATTGGTGGACGAAAAGGGAAAAGGAAAAAAAGCGCCATCGGGGGATTGCCCGGTGGAATATACGGGCGGGGAAGATCGTAGCGCGGATATCGCGTCTAAACTGACCAGACCAGACCAGGACCAGGATGGAGAGACCAGGAAAGAAACCATAGCAAGAACGATGGGCTCAGCGAAAAAAAGAAAAACAAAGAAAAACAAAGATTATGCCCGTACATTTTTGAACGTATCCAAGTCATAAATTCTTTCTTTCTTTCTTTCTTCTTTCTTTACGCGCCCCATTTCTGAACTGCTTCGCTCAACTCTTTTGTTAATCCCCGGCGTACAGCCAATAGCTCTTCTTTCGCGTTTTCGGCTTCCTTTTCGCTTCGCTCAATGCGTCCTCTTAACCCGTCTACTTCGCCTCTTAGCTCTTTTCGAAATTCTTTACTCGCGTTCTCTACCGCTACTAATCTTTGCACTTCCAGGCGCATCTTTTCGCCAGAAGACTCGACGCCTTCTAAGCGCTCTTTCATGGCGTTCATTTCGCGCTTCATGCCCTCTACTTCGCGTTTTAGGGCGTCGGATTCGATTTGCATGCTACGATATGCGTGGGATTCCCTAGCCATGCGCTGCTGAAGGTCGGATTTTTCTGATTCCAGGCCATTTAATGAAGCTTTGAGGCCGGCGTTTTCGTCTTTGAGGTGATTAATTCGGTCGGTTAAGGCGCGGTTGACGCGCTCCGGAGCGGGACTGCGTGGGCTGAGAATAGATCCTGAGGATGCTATTGAGGTAGATTCCTGGAGTTTTGAGGGGACAACGATTTGCTCGCTGAGAGTGCGCCGGGGGTGCTTTTTCGGTCGGATGGCAGATGGAGGGATATTTGGGTAGTCTTCGTCGCGTTCGCGTTTAATCTTAATGTTTAGGCTGTCTGTTGCTGCGCGTTTCATTGGAGGATGTTGATATTCATCAGATACGGGACGAGTGGTTGAAACAGTAGAGGACCGCTTCGGCCGGACAGTAATTGGATCCTTTTCGAATGGTGTTGAAGGTTCTGATTTTCTCGATGGTGGTAGTAATGGACGCTCGCCTTCATTCTGAACCCACAGACAGGCGTCGCGAAAATTCCTGGTAAACATTGTAGGATCTGATCGTGTGCGGGATAGCTCTTTCACGTGGCCTGCTGCCAAAAAATAGTAAAGAATGAGGGCAGATACGCGGTGGATTGCTTTTGAACCACCGGTATCGTCACCGACGTCACAAAATGGGGCATGAAAGGCAACGGTGCTGGTGCTATTTACCGACAACAGCTCACTGCTGCCATCTTCGAGTTCGGTAATGCGATAGAAGCTGACCTCTGCTTCGTCCTCGTGGACGTGGGCTGTGACACGGTCAATGGGTTCATCGTCGTCGCCGGCGGGACCTGGGGCGTAGCCGCCAATGACGAGTAGCTGCTTGTGAGTAGAGCGGCCGAGAGAGCGCCAGATAGCTCTGCTGATAGTAAAGCTTTCGTCAAACTCGATCCATTGCAACCTGGCAGCACGCGGCAAAGCGCGAAAGGGCGCGGCAAAGTGATGACGGGCCCAGGCCTGGACATTGTCGTTTGTAAGGGGAGATCTTGTCTCATTGAAGTCGGCCATGGTGGCGGATGATTGGCGAGGTGTCACCCGGTGTTGTGCTGGAGGTCAATGGGCCGCTGTGTAGTAATTGGCAGAGGTGGAAAGTGCACGCGTGGAGATTGCGGAGGGGTGACAAGGAACTGACAAGCGATCTGTTGTTGATCGCGACTGGAGATTGTACAACGAGCACCTGTTGCCGCCATGGAGGCCCGGGAGACAGCGGGATCACGGCGACATGAGTGCGCAGGCAATATGGGTGCGTTTGTGTGTGTGCGTGTGTGCGAGAAGAGTGTAGTAGTAGAAGGGTTGTTGACGCTGCGGCGACAAGTCAGGCGGGATTCCTTCCGGCGCCCGTTATTTGCGGGGCTGGTACGTATTAGTGGCTGGCCGACTGAAAGGGGAAGGTGCGCCAGACCAGTGCTGCACCATGTCGCTACGGCCGGCCCACTGCAGCCATGTTCATATGGATGCACATGTTGGGACGCTCTCGCCATGGCTACCTGGATGTGCCCTGTGAAGCCTCGCTGTATCTTAATTATAAGCGGCCAATAGCGCTACCGCGTATGCGAAGACGTAATACACGTGTGGTCAGCAACAGGCGTCTTGTCTTGGGAACTTCCCATACCCATACCCACCACCACCATCTGTTCCCCATATCAGCCGAGGCCTAGTTCCCTCAACCACAAACAGAGTTTACTAGATACTACACTTAGATATAGCCATGTGCTCGCCCTCGCCCCCGTCACCGCCAATCCTCTGCTGGAAACCACCTGTTGGAAATTACCTGTCGTTTCAGCCCTCGCTGTCTTTGTTTTTTTGTCGCGGCTATTCCTTATCTAATCGGCATCCGCCATACTTGCACCCGAAGGCCCATGTACTGCGCCGGCAATATATGGCTGGTCGCCATGTAGCGACTATTCGGACCAGGGTCGGTATCTCTGACTCTTCTTCTTGCGGGGGAAATGCGAAATATGTACCGGCACAGCGTATGTTTGGCGCTGTGGTCCTTTTATCTATTTACGATATCACTACTTTACCTGATACCTAGATACGCCGATTCAACGCGTCTACGTCATCGGCCTATATTTTTTTTTTGCGATCAACGCGCCACACGCGGCTGTTTCCCTAGACTAAAACACCCAATCTGGCCGAATCCCACTTCCTGTCTCTAACAACCCTTGCGTCCCCTTCAGCTGTCATTCCACTAACAAGACCCTCACTACCACTGCTGCGTGCGCCTGCCAACACCAACCATGCCCCGCCGCGCTCCCTCAACCAACACCCCCACTTCCGACACCACTACCACCACAGCGTCCCCAGCAAAGGTCCGGTGGCCAGCCACATTCACAGATGGCTTGCCACTTCCAAAAATAGTCGTCTTCGACCTCGATTACACTCTCTGGCCCTTTTGGGTAGACACGCATGTTACCGCCCCGCTTAAGCCTACCGAAGGCGGCTTAAAGGCAAAGGACCGATATGGCGAGGGCTTCGGCTTCTACACTGACGTTGGGGGTATCCTAGAAGCAGTACGACTGCTCCATATCCCCTATCTGACCACAACAACAACTAACCAAGTTGCCATAGCTCAAAGCTAAGAATATCCTCATCGGCGCTGCTTCTCGCACCTGCGCCCCGGATCTCGGTCGCGAGATGCTTAAGCTGCTCAAGATACCCAGCCCTTCCGGCTCTTCATCCCGCGCAATCGACTACTTTGACCACCTGCAAATATACCCAGGCAACAAGACTACGCATTTTGAGCGCATACACCGGGACAGCGGTCTCGAGTATGAAGACATGCTCTTCTTTGACGACGAGGCTAGGAACAAAAATGTAGAGGTCCTAGGCGTCACGATGCAGCTTATTAGGGATGGTGTGACAATAGAGGAGATCGACAACGGAGTTCGGAGTTGGAGGAAGAGGAATGGCAAGACAAAGCCATTGGGGCAATGATTGGCTGCTAAAGACACGTGCGCTGACTCGACGCAGGGACAGCATAGAGTGAATACGATACCCGTTTATTCAACTTTCCGGGACCATAGTTTCCGGTTGTTCGTAACTGACGTTAAATTCATGACTAGACGTTACCCAACTCCACGAGCCACCTGTCAACGCACACACAAACTTACAACGGCACTGCCGCGCCGTCTCCCCGCATATCGCTACCTCCGCTCCAAACCTGCACGCCATCATCCTCGTGCCGCCTGATTATCTGGCCTCGGCCAAACATGCCCCGCTTGTAACCACTCAGCTGCTCCACATTGTGTCCCAGTGCCTTGAGCTCCTTGACCACCTTTGCATCAATGCCCTCTTCCAAGTAAATGGTCGCGTCCGTCATAGTTCCGTCTGCGCTCGGCATGCCGGCTCCAATGCAGAAACGCGGTGAGTCGAGCGCAGCCTGTGGGTTGAGCTTGAACACCTCCTGATTCAGCAGCACCTGCACGTGACCCTGCGGTTGCATGAAGCCGCCCATGACACCGTACACAGAGTGCAAGCTCCCGTCGTTAATATACGTGGTCAGACCGGGGATAATGGTATGATACGGTCGCTTCCTCGGCGCCAGAACATTGGGATGATCCTTGTCCAGGCTAAAGTTTGCGCCGCGGTTCTGGAGCGTGAAGCCACAGCCCTTGGGGATGATGCCGGTGCCGAAGCCGCCATAATTGCTGTTGATGAAGGAAATGGCGTTGCCGTCTTGATCCGAGCAGCAAAAGTACACCGTGTCGCTTTGCAGATGTGCCGGCGATCCGTGGACTGGCGCTGAAATGGCCTTCTTCGGGTTAAACAGCTTTGCGCGCTCTGCCAGGTACTTTTCTGAAATGAGCTCTGCTGAAGGTACCTTGACCACGTTGGGGTCAGTAACAAACCAGTGCGCGTCGCAAAAGGCGATTCGGAGCGCTTCGATTAGAGCATGCAGGTGGCTTGTGCTGTTGTGGTCTTTGACGCTCCATTTAGGAATCTTGCCTTGCTTCTCCAGCTCTTGGATGATGCCTAGCGCCATCAGAGCTACGATGCCCTGGCCGTTTGGTGGATGCTCCCACAGCTCGATACCGCCGTTAGTATTCTCTCCTACTCCTTGACCCGTGTACTTCAGCGAAATGGGGTCGACAGGCTCAGACCCGGTTTCGGCGTGATGTTTGAGGTCGTCCAGAGTGAGGTAACCACCAAGATCTTGCACTACCTTTACAAGCTGTTCCGCGACTTCTCCTTCGTAGAAGCCCTTCTTTCCGTGCTTGGCGAGGAGCTTGAATGTATTCGCTATGGTTGTGTTCTTCATGATTTCACCTGCTCTCGGTGCCCTGCAGCCATCTTTGGCAGATGGGTCTTTTTTCAGCATTTCATGGCCGTTGGGTGAAGCACGTCGAATGTCAGCTTCGCTAGCTGCCCACTATCACAGTCTCAGTAGGCATCTCTTGAAAGCATTTGGGTTTACTCACAAAGGTTGCAGAGAGCTCAGACACTGGGAAGCCCTTCTCTGCAAGCTCAATAGCAGGCGCAAGGACATCCTCCATGCTGACCTTTCCACTACCAAAGCGCTCAACGCAGTCAACCCATCCTGCTGCTGCACCGGGAACTGTGGCCGCAAGCACGTGATCCATTGGTATCTGACCATGCTGGCCATCCGCGAGATTGAGGTCTTTCCTGACCTTCTCAAGTGTGACGTTCTCGCCCGAGCGGCCAGATCCATTCAGCGCCGATACCTTCTTCGTCTTTGCATCGTAGTACAAGCAAAACATGTCACCACCAATACCGGTGGAGCCTGGCTCCGTGACATTGATAGCTGCCGCCACAGCTACAGCTGCATCCTGGTACAGTTGTGAGTTATTTGCACATGGTAATGGGTAATAGATTACGTCATACAGCTGCGTTTCCGCCTTTCCTCAGAATCTCAATGCCAGCTGCCGAGGCGAGTGGCTGGGTGCTGGATACGATGCCTTTTGTGCTGTGTAGCACGGAGCGCCGGCTGGGGAAGTGGACAAACTGGGGTTCAGGATGAGGATACACATTTGGATTGCCTGCAACAGTAGCTTCTTCTGCAAGCCGCTGCTTCTTAGCTTGAGGTTCAGGCTCCGGGTCATGGTTGGCCTTGGTCCTCTTGCTTCGTCGTGGAGTAGGAGGCATTATGTCTGGAGGTATCTGGAGCTCTGGGGGCAGCTTCTGAAGCTTTTTTTGCTATGAATACTAGGAAAGTTTATGAATGTAGTACTTGACATAGCTCTTTTATGTACGACGGTTATCCCCGGAGATGGTCGATGCCGCTTGCAGTGCCGATCTCGCTCGATAAGTACCTCGGGACAGGGTGCAGCGGCCTCCGATAAGTGTCCATGACGTTTCTAGTCAGGCGCGAACGATATGCATGCGGAAGGTGGTTAAAGCGGTGTGACCCTTGCGAGCGTGAGAGACTGCGTCACGTGCAAAGCGTTCCGAACCGATCGGAATGCGCGCGTTGGAGACTGAGAATTCCGTCACAATTGAAATTCTGCGCATGTCTACGACTATGCTTGCAGCGCCCTGGATATGTCGGAACTGCCTTTCACGAATAGGCAGGCCACTTCTTAGGCGCAATGTTCGTCTGCAAAGCTCGGGTGAGTAGTATGAATATATGTTCTATGGTATGTTGCTAATACTACTACAAAAGCTGCATCACCTGAATCCATACCACCAGCCCTCCTTGCTCGAGCCCAGGCAATTACTTCCGAGCACAAAGTGCTCACAGAAAAGCTGTCCAATGGCTTCGATACGCGTGCGGCGAAGAAGTTGGGCGAGTACAGTCCCATTGTGAATGCGCTGGGAGAATGGAACAAGGCCAATGAGGTAGGCATAGAGCAGGCACATGTTACGAGTAGTATGGATACTGATCTGGACTAAGTCTGTAGCAGAGCTTACCTCGATGATACAAGATTCATCCACCGATCCAGAATTACGATCACTTGCTTCAGATGACCTTGCGGAAACACGAACCCAACTCGCCAATGCTTCACAAAACCTCATTACTTCACTAGTACCTGTACATCCTTTTGCGCATCTACCATGTTTGTTGGAAATAAGACCTGGTGCAGGCGGATCAGAAGCTGCCATTTTCGCCGGCGACCTATTTCGCATGTACCAGGCCTATTGTAATCGCAACGGCTTCAGGACCAACATCCTAAAATACGAAAACGTAAACGGCACGACAGAAGCCGGGATACCACTTTCAGAAGCTATCATCGAAGTAGAAGATGAAAACGCATACGGTGTTTTCAGATGCGAAGCTGGTGTCCACCGTGTGCAACGCGTGCCCGCTACCGAAACCAAAGGCCGGACACACACGAGCGCCGCATCCGTCCACGTGCTCCCCAGTCTACAAGAAAACTCGGCCGAAGAACAAGATTTCGACGACCCAGAAAGCGACTACTACATCGACCCAAAGGAAGTCAAAGTCGAAGTCATGCGCGCCAGTGGTGCAGGAGGCCAACACGTCAACAAGACCGAATCTGCAGTCCGTCTAACCCACACACCCACAAACACCGTAGTCGCAATGCAAGACTCGCGGTCGCAGCATAAGAACAAAGAAAAAGCCTGGACTCTGCTGCGCTCCCGCATCGCCCAATCCCGCCGCGAAAAACGCGAAGAGGAAATGGCGAATATGCGTCGTAGCGTCATCGGCGTGGCGAAAATGGGCCGCGGTGATAAGGTACGCACGTATAATTGGGGACAACAGCGTGTCACGGATCATAGGAGCGGGACGACGGTGCATGATTTGGATGATGTGATGCAGGGGGGTCAGACGCTGAGTGCAGTTATGGAGAGTGTAAGGGCGTGGCTTATGGAGAGGGATGTTGAGGCTTTGATTGCAGATGAGGCGGCGGAGAAGTGAGTGCATTGGTGGCTGTCGGTATGAGTAGTATGTGTGAGTGTGGATTGGAGAGTGCTGCTGGTTGTGAGGGATCGTGAACGGAGACGAACCTAGATATACTTGTATCTAAAGTTGCAGCGTAAAATTCCATCGCTCTCAAAAAGAAAGAGCCTAAGTGCTCGAATAGCGTTAGACACAATTATTGCATACTTTTTGGGGGCGTTCTTGTGATTATCACACATTGGTAACAAGCAACCTCATCATCTTACCCGTACTGCGAGTTAGCACATACGACGGAACATACAGGGGACACCTTACGAAGTAACAAACACTAGATTACTCGGTTTTCTATACTAAAAACTATCCTTTCTACACTATACCATTTAATAGCTATACCTACCCTCTCTTTATATCAGTCTCTTATATATATCTTTATGCCCTTTCTACTATAGAGCTATAAGCTATTGAATATTGTTAAAGATACTTTTTTTTTAAAAAAAAACTACTTTATAAATACTTCTTAAAGGGGTAAAAGTACAAGCGAAAATAAAGTAAGAAAAGATTACTCTCTTTTAGTAGTCAGTGGAAAATATCAAATCAATTTAGATTAGTATGTTTCGTTGTATATGTGCCAATTCCGCAGTATATCCTCGAATTTTACCCGATTTGTAGTACTAGTATGCTACTACTGTTGTGTCCTCGCCACTGTTAATCTCATACAACCTAAACCCTCAGTTATACCCCAAACCCCCTAACATTCACTCATCAGTCACGCGATGAAAATCACAGCACCATAACATGTAATCCCTCGATTAATTCACCCTACTCCTTTCACCTAATTACATAATCGAGGCTAATCGCCCCTTTCTTTTTCTTCCCTTGATTCATTAAATCCCCGCAGTCCTACTTTCACTGTTATCCAACCCTCTGTCTCTATCTTTGGGTCATAACCTCCCCCCACCCATGAAAGCACTTTTTTAAGAGCACTCTTCCTCGCAATCTTCCTCGCACTTTCTAAGAGGACTCTTTAAGAGCGCTCTAGCGAGCGAGTACTCTAACGAACCCTACTTATACTCCCTCCTCATCCCCATCTTCAACACCATCTTCTCTGCACTCGCCTTCTTGCGCTGCGTCGGCCACGGTTTATCCGCCATGATGGCACGTAGATTGTGGTTTGTGAAGGCGCGCTTGACGGGGTCGATGCAGCGGCGTCGTTTGGCTAGGAGAGGGGGTCTGGGGACGGGGATGATGTTGCGGTTGGTGATGATGCTGGTGCTGGGGGGTTTGGTGGTGAGAGGACGGGGAGTAGCGGTAGTGGTGGTGGTTGGAGAGCTGGGGCCAGTGTTGTTGGGAAGATGAAGATGAGTGTTGTAGTGCTGGGTATGAAGTTTGCCAGTGACATTGCTGTCGTCGTGGATCTTGGGATGCTCTACGGCACGTACATCGGGATACGAGACATAAGTATGGCGGTGGCTTGTTTGGTAAGCAGAACTGGCGCGGTTGTTTCCTCTACCGCTGACAGGGCGATGTTTATTGACACCAGCACCAGTGTGTGCGTTGAGATATTGACGATCTCTAGCACCAGGGTTGATGCGGTGATGCTTTTCGGGCTCATGCTCAGTGCGAGGCGCCATTTGAGTGTTTGCTTAGGCAGGGGTTGAACCAATACCACGTGGAAGGAATGCACTGAAAGTTGATATTTGTTGGGGGGATGAAAGGGGTTAGACTGGCAACAGGAGGGTTTATATACATGCCAGCAACGACGTGTTAAGTGAAAGTGAAAGGGACGATGTGGCATCTTGTGACGTCAGTTCAGTTCACGCTCACCGTGACAGGATGTCCTTTTGGTAGTAGCATCCAGCAGTGACTATGAGCATCCAATGAGCAGTCGCAAATCATAATATTAGCGGTATATTATCTGTTTGTCAGATGTTGGTGGTGGCTAAGACTAATACACTGGTAACAAACATACGTGAGAAGGCAAGGCCGATTAGGGGTAAAAAGGAATGAACCTAGGTGAACAGAAAGTGGTGGAATGCATAAAGGAAGTTTGTGGAGACTTGATAGCATGTTAAAATGACATGTTCATTGAACGCTTAATAGGAACACTGCTTTGGTATTTCATATACGAAAAGGAGCATAACAGAGAATGCTGTTGCCTAAAACTAGGTCGCTGACCCAACCCGCGTAGTACAAGAGAACAAAAGATGAAGAAATCCAGCCTATGTGTGCGCCACACTAGCGCCTTGAACGTCCAGCCATGAGAAAGCAAACAAACGGGCTATAGGGGAAGACAGGTCAAACCCAGCATGATCATCTAAATATCATCCATGTTGCCTGCAGCTCCATCTTCATCACCAGACTCGTAGCTGCCGACTGAGCTCATCTCGTCATCGTCGCCATCATCCTTGTCAGAGTCTTCGGCAGTATCTTTGCTGGCGTACTTTTGGACGTACTCTATTTTTTTTTAGTTACTGATCTGCATTCACTAGTACTTTACTGCTGTACATACCTTTGACCTTGGCGTCGTAGCTCTTGGGTTCTCTCATAAGAAGAGCAGCAGCTTCTCCATTCAGAGGATCGGTTGGGTTAGGATAGCGGAGGAGTTGGGGAAGAAAGACTTCGAAGATGTTGATCATGTCGTACATTGGCGACCAGGTTTGATTGATGACGTCCAGACAGACGGAGCCGGAGCTATTGATGTCAGAAGATGGTTCGAGGCGATGATATAAGGAAAAGACATACAGCTCATCGATATTTGGGTGGAATATCCTGTTGACGAAGCCGATACTGGGGCTCTTGTAGGGATATTGGTCTGGCAGTTCGACGTGTATCTTCCAGAGACCACCCTCGAATGGAGCTATTGGTGATTAATACGCGGTAGGCAAAACAGGAAAACTCCGACGTACTTTCTGACGGACCCTTGAATCTGACATAGAACTCTTGCCTAGGACATGTCAGCAGTTGGGAGCATTTGGGATGCGACGGTAAGATGAACTGACACTAGGAAATGTTAGCGGAGAGTGTTCATGGGGTGAAAGGACGATGGCTCACTGTTATCATTGACTAGAGTTACTTCATAATCACTCATGAGCCTGGGCGCTGTCAGCTGGCATTCTTGTGTCACCATCACTGTGGCGCGAATTGCTGCAATGGATGCTAGGTTGTTAGACATACATCCTATTTACTTGTTAGTATCATATTGCGCAAAGGGAGTCTATGCGACTTACTTCATGACCTGTGTTTACGGGCAGGGTGCTCAATTAGCTCTTGTCCGTCCAACAGTCATTGACAGGGGGTTTAGGTCCCACATACATCCGTCTCGATACGTCTCTTTGGCGAACTCATTTTGGCGCAGGACGTGTATAAGCGAGTATATCGGGTCTTGTTCTCGCAGTGATTGTATTCAGAGCCGAGTCGTAGGAAGGTCGCAGCGTGGTCGCGCAGGGCGGAGTGGCGGCGGAGCTGTTGTGGAGTGGGCGGCGGGGCTATCGATAGCGGAAGAGGGGCGCCGTGGCTGGGAGAGGGCAGGTGGTGTGTTGGTCAAATGGAGGTTTCGATTTGGTCGTCTGCGGTATGAATTGCGTGTATGGGTTTTGGAACCGTGGTTATCGAGCGCAACGTGCTGGGAGTCAGGGACAAACAGGCGCGAGGCACGAAGATGAGGGAGTCGTCACGAGATCACGAGCGATGATGATAGTGCGGCGGCGTGTCACGCTTGCGCACGTCTCACCTGGGCCAGCCATCGGCCAGACATCGCACGCCGCCGAGTAATCGATCGAATACTTTCAAACACACCTATTGTGCAGTCTTCTTTATGACTGAGATGCGCGACGATTCGCTATCTGACGACATTTATCTGACGTCTGCGTAGTGTACACTAACCAGGTACCCGAACATGTCGACCCAACCCTTACCTTATGACGAGCGACTGGACACTTGTCACAGCCAAAGTCATTATGCGCATAAGGAGCTGCATCACAGAGTGCATGCTCTTTCTACTCATGATACATACTCGAATTCATCAGAGCCAAGCATGTACTCAGACACGGTCCATTGATCCAGCTATGCATCATTCAGCCAGTCCAGGGACCCCTTGGATAACCGGCCATTACTCGATTGCATGACTCGATGTGCAAAGCATTACCGACCTTGTAGGCAGAGAGAGAACAAAGGCTGCAAGGCCTCAGCCACAAGTCTGCTCGACTCGTCCATCTTCTCTTGTTCGGACACCGTTTCTGGCAGTCCAAGGCGGGCATGGCCCAATCAGTGTGGAGCAATGCCGCAGCTTCCCCGAGGTTGCGCCCACCAATTCACCGCTTGTCCGACGATGACAACGACGACCCCACCAAAGACATGTGCTGCAAAACAGAAGAGGAGGGAAAATATCAAGAAACCAATTGCTGGAGATGGCTGAGAGCCTAGATATTTGGCATTCAATTCGGGGAATTACAGTGATTACATACCTATCTGGCCACAAAGGAACCAACCACACCCCTGTCTATCTCGGCCAACGATGATCCTCGGTTCATTCTAAACAACGTCTGCTCAGAACTTCGCTGAAGATATCATCACAATGTCCCAAAGCATAAGAGAACGCTCGCCGCACTAAATCATGGCTGACCACCCTGCCTCCTTATTCTCTCCGCTGCTGCGACACATTTTTTTCCCTCTAGAAAATACCACCCGCCCATCTGCAGCCTTGCCGGTGCCTCCATAATGTCGCGTGCGCTATCCAAGACACTACGAGTGTCTTCACGACTTACACCACGACCTTCCTCACCCTTAACAATACCGCGCATCATACTGTCCGCCACACAAGCACGATGGAGTTCGCATTCCCCGCTGGGCACACCGCCCACAAACGCACGCAAACCCGTCACTCTCAACACCCTGCAGGCACTCTACCGCAAGGGCGAGCCCATCACCATGGTCACAGCTCATGACTTCCCCAGCGCACATGTCGCCGACCACGCCGGCATGGACATGATACTCGTTGGCGACAGCCTCGCCATGGTCGCCCTCGGTATGGAAGACACAAGTGAAGTCCTAATGGAAGAAATGCTTCTGCATTGTAAATCTGTCGCGCGCGCCACAAAAGCCGCTTTTACTGTACGTTCTTGTCCCTCTTTATCCCCCAAACCAAAAAACATATATCCTCCTCCCATATACAACTAACGAACATGCGATTGCTCAGGTCGGCGACCTTCCAATGGGCACCTACGAAATCTCCCCCACCCAAGCCCTCCAATCCGCAATCACCATGATCAAAACCGGCCGCGTCAAATCCGTAAAACTAGAAGGCGGCGCCGAAATGGCCCCTACCATCGCTAAAATAACCTCCGCTGGCATCCCCGTCCTCGCCCACATCGGCCTAACCCCCCAACGCCAAAACGCCCTCGGTGGCTTCCGCGTCCAGGGCAAAACCACTGCCTCAGCACTCAACCTACTCGCAGATGCACTCGCCGTCCAAGACGCTGGCGCCTTCGCAGTCGTGCTCGAAGCCGTACCCGCGCAAGTTGCAGACCTCGTCACGCGACAGCTGCGCATCCCGACCATTGGAATTGGAGCCGGTAACAAGTGTTCAGGCCAAGTCCTTGTGCAAGTTGACATGCTAGGTAACTTTCCCCCAGGCCGCTTCCTGCCCAAGTTCGTGAAGCAGTATGGCAATGTGTGGGGCGAGGCGCTGGGGGCCCTAGAGAGGTACAAGGACGAGGTCAAGACTAGGGTGTATCCAGAGGAGAAACATACGTATCCCATGTCGCAGGAAGCATTTGAAGAGTTTGAAAAGGTGGTGGAGGATGAGAGGGAGAAGGTGGATTTGTTGTGATTAAGGGTTTGCAATTATGCCCTTTCTTTTCGCTTTTTTTTTGCGGTATACAGGGGGAGGAAACGACAAGGAACAATGGTGATATACAAGTCCACTTTTTTTTCTTCAAATTTCGTTACATAAACCGATACAGGATATTTTACTCTTTTCTTGTATCCTTCACTCAAGATCATGTCTCTGTGTGTTTTTGCGAAGTGATCGTAAAATACATGATGAGAAAAGAAAGAAAGAAAAGACTTTTTGGGTAAAGGAGGGGGTATACAGATTATAATACAATGGTGATGACAGAAAGAAACCCCCCGAAAGAAAGAAGAGAGGCGTGACCGTTACTTCATGAGGAAGAGACCAAGCTCAGAGAAGCTTCCCTTTTCTCTTCCCATCTCCTTCTTAAAAGTCAAGTCGAGGTTCCCTTCTGGGGCGGTCACCGAATCCACCGCCGCCTCCCCTCCTGTCACCTCCAAAGCCACCTCCGCCTCGCCTGTCGCCTCCGAATCCTCCACGGTCTCCTCCACGGTCTCCTGCACCTCTTCGGTCACCGCCAAAGCCGCCGCTTCTCCTGTCACCTCCAAAGCCACCTCCGCCTCGCCTGTCACCTGCGAATCCTCCACGGTCTCCTCCACGGTCTCCTCCAAAACCTCCACTCCTTCGGTCACCACCAAAACCTCCGCCGCTTCGTCGGTCGCCAAAGCCACCTCCAGGCCTGCCTCCAAATCCGCCGCTACGGCCACCGCCACTGCCGCCGCCGGATCGCCTCTGGCTAGCCATGACAAAAGCCGGTGGTGGAGGCGGAGTCTCCATTCCCCATCCAAACTCTGCCAAACGTTGGGCACCCTCAATCAGGCTTCGCTTATCACCGAACCACTGGAAGCTTCCGAACAGACCACGGAATGCTGCGTCAAGATGGTCAGGGTAGACCTTCTTGTGCGCCTCAACACAGTCAGATAGAATCTTGCCAACGTTCTCCGGAACCTCAGCAGGCTGGCTCATGTCAATGGTGGCAGTCTCGAGTTCGTGCGTTGCGTCGACAAGAGGCAGGTCACGGAGACGGCGTCGGGCTTCTTGCTTCTCAAAAGGAGTCAGGATGAGCCATCCCTCGCCCTCCTTTCCAGCACGGCCGGTACGACCCAGACGATGAATGTACGACTCGCGTTCGCGAGGGAGACCCACTTGAATAACGTGCGTGACTTCTGGGAAATCCATACCACGTGCGGTTACGTCAGAAGAGAAGAGAATGCCAGATTTAGCGAAGCGGAAGTCGTCAGCGGCCCTTGTTCGCTGCCCTTGAGAGAGCTTGGAGTGGATTTCAAACCCACGGAGGCCAGACAGAGGGCTGTTGCGCTTGAAGCCGCCGCTGAGCTTGTAGAATACTGATGACGCGAGCGTGACTTCGGCGGTACTGTTGAAGTAGATAATGGCCTTGAATGGGCGACCACCACTGGCCTGAGCCTTCTGGTGCTGCTGGAGAACCAGTTCGTAGAGAGCGGGAATGTTGTTCTCAAAGCCAGTCACCATGACCATCTTTTGAGGAATGCGCGCGTGTGTGGGCTCCTCATCTTCACTGACACACTTGGCAAAATGGAAGCCGGGACGCATCGTCTGGCGAACCAGGTTAACGACATCGCGGGGAATCGTAGCAGAGAACATGAGATTTTGGCGCTCGACCTCTGCGGGGTCGGGAAGAAGCGTCTTGATGTCATCAATCTCCTTTTGGAAACCATCGTCCATCAGGCGATCTGCCTCATCCAAGACCAGCGCATTCAGATTTGGTGCAGCAATGCGAGAGTACTCGTCAGACAGGATGTCGTATAGTCGTCCTGGCGTCGCAATCATGAGGTGACATCCTTCACGCTGCGTCTTCAGAAGCATGGACCTTTTCTGTGTACCTCCGACCGCAACCTGGACAACAATGCCAGTGCCAGAGACTACCTTTCTAGCCTCTACTGCAATTTGTTCGGCAAGCTCGCGGGTAGGAGAAATGACAATGGCCCTGATATCGTCGGGTTTGGCGCGCTTGTAGCCTCTGGGTTTCTCGCCAAGCTTGGGGTCGTTTTGGATGATTCGCTGGATGACGGGAATGAGAAAACCGAGTGTTTTACCGGTACCAGTCTTTGCCTGTGCAATGCTGTGGTATGTTAGTATAAAATTCCCAATGAACAAAGCAAAGAGTCTTACATGTCCACCCCGCTCAACGCCTCGTTGATCGTCCTGGTCTGTACGTCCGTCATGGTTGTGAGTTTCATCTGTTTCGTAATGGTGTTTACGACATTGGGATGGACAAGCCCTCGAGTGGCGAGATCCTCAAACTGTGTGACGGGTTCATTCTGTTGTTCACTCTGTTCCACCTCTTGTGCCGCAATCTGTTGCCACTTTGCGCTGTGATGGAAGCCAGCAATAGCACCGTTCGCGAGGCGCGACGACTGCAGCGGTATCCTCAGAAGACCAGAAGTCTGAGTAAGAGGGGTGCGAAGTGTCCTGGTTGAAATTGCCGCCAAACTCCTCGAGAGGGTCGCTGGGCATCTTTTTACTGCGCCGAACATGATGTGGGAGAGGGGACGGCACGCAGTCCGAAGGAATGAAAGGGGTATCTAGAAAGTATGCGACAAAAAAGAATGCGAGTATTTTTTTGTGCACCTCAATGAAGAAAGTAGGTTGGCACAAGAGAGAAGTGTGCGGCGGTCGAGTTGCCAGAAACTTTGCCATTCACTTTTTCGATGGGGTACGTGCACAATCCACATACTAGTAGAAAGCCCGCCGCCCACGCCGATAAGATAAGGCCCTTCCTCTCCACCAAAATCCCCTCCTTCAGGGTCCAACGCAGCAAAACAACGTTGCAGAATAATCCAAAAGTAAACATGAGTGTTACCATTCATAAAGCCATGTGTCTATGCAACCGTGAAAATGCTCAAACGCCGCCCCCAATGCCAATAAGAAAAAAAATCACTTCTACTTCTCCTCCTCTACCTCCCCACGTCGCTGACCTTCCGCTGCTTTCATAGTTCGGAGACCCTCGGCGAGGCCTTGTTGCACCCCTCCCGTCACACCAGTTATCCACCACATGGTCAAATCGTTAAAGGTCTGGATAACCATACCGTCGTTCATCTGACATACAACCTGCGAGAACCTGAGTGCCTTTTGGCCAAATTCATCGGCAGTCGCTACACTCGTGTTGACGATTCGCTGCGTGATTCGGTGCTTCCTCTCAAATTGATACGCATGCGAAAGGAACAGCCGAATGTATGGCAGCAGAAACTGCAGGAAGAGAAAGGTCTGCAGGACAAACGCTGCCGTGATACGGTGTATGATAGTAGGATTCTGCGGTGGCCTTTGTGCAGCGTCGGAGCTCTGTGGCGTGGCACGTACGAGCGCGCCTGTGTTTGAATCACTGACTGATTCTACAAGATCCTGGGGAAGGGCGGCCTGTAGACTCAGCTTTTCCTCTGGCGTGAGGTTCTCTGGGAGTCCTCGAAGCAGATAGGTGATGCCATGTACGTATAGTTGTCGAATGAGTGTTGCAGACGCCTCGTCCAAGGCACTAGAAGATGCGTTTGACTCTCGAGATGCCTGTTGCAGTAGACTTATGCCTAGATGTAGTGTAAGCAAGACCATTTCTCCAAGACACTGTCTACCACGAACCTAGGCTAGCATATCTCCATCTGACACCAGAACGCGTCTCTTGAGCACCAGGGACTACCAGGGGCATGGCCCTTGAAGAAGCCTGGCCCTCAGACACATCGTCTGCAAAATCGACTTCTGCCTCCCCCAAAGCAGCAGAAAGTTTGTATGGTGAAACAGTTTCGCTTGGAGGCATGGTGGAGTACCCCGGTGGCGGCGTCACAGGCTGTGGTAATTCTGTCACGGTATCGGATTTATTGTAGTAGGTTCGACTCCGTACATCGCCAAGAGACTGGCGGAGCGAAGGTATCGTGGGTAGGCGACTCGACACCACGGTGGGAAGTACGTTGTAAAGCATACTAGGCCGAAAGCTGCTGTCTTTGATCTGGGCAGGAGAGACCGAGTCGAAAGTAGTCGCAGATGGTTCTGTCGATTCGGTCAGGAGCATTTTGTCGTACCACCGCCCCGCTAGCAGACGCTCCCTACACTATCAGAACGCGATGCTTCACCCACGATTGACGGCGGATGAGCGAGAACAACAGACAAGCAAAAGGATGCGCGAGGACAATTGTGAGGAATTGCAGAGGTCATTCTGAGTTTTCGCGGCTGCACAGCGGCCGTCCTTGTTTCGCTGAGACTGCATTATGCCAAATCTGTCAAAATCTAAATCCCAAGGCTGGCGACACGGCTTGCATGTGAAAGTGTTGAGCGCGCGCCGCCGTCGAAGCAGCGCCACCTTCCAGGGGTCTTCCACGTCTGATAGCCGAGCCCTCCGACCACCAATGAGCTGGATCGGGCGAGAACGTGTGTGCAACGTTCGATCATCCTTCTTTTTTGCACTCTCGTCACATGTCTGGGCCTTCGATCTCGTAAAGTTTAGCTGAACCTTTTAGTTCTTCTTGTTGTTTTGTCTTCCCCCCTATTTCCCATGTACCACTTGACAGCATCCGTCATCAACTGTAGAAGCGCGGCATCACATGTGCATTTTCACCCGATCTTTTCCGCTTCCTTATCTTCGGACCCCTTCACGTGCTGAGATCTTTGCATTCTCGTACAGGATGGTCTTGGCATATGTCATATCCAGGGTCTAATTGTAGCATCAAGTAGTATGTAGCGGTGTCTATGCACGCGACCAAAGTTATGTATCTGGCTTCTCAAATAGCCCTCTCCGTATGCGCAACTAAGCAGAGTGCACGGAAACATATTCTGGGGCTTCCACGAAGTTAATCGTGGTGAAGACGTTGCATATTCCCACTTTGTGTCACGCGTATGTCGATCACGCGCCCGGTGATGTGGTAGCCGTGTGCAGCTTTCCATCACAACCTCAGAAGCGAATATGTGAGCGTGTCTCTCTTCAAGTCGTCGTTGGTGTGGGATCAATATCATAGCTGCCTTCTTTATCTATGTAGGTTAGGTGTGATAAGAGTGTCATGTCGTTGTTTCCCATGTTATTGTCGGTGGGCTCGGCCGCGTTGGAGCTGGAAGGATGAAAGTGGACAGATCTTGGATGTGTTTATGTTCTTGATGATCGTTCGAGACAAATCGCCTCAATGCAACCGCAACTCTGTTAGTACTGTATAAGCTATGGTCATGTTCCTTTTTCGTATTGTTCTGGTCACGTACTGACATAGTGCGATTGACCTCGCGGATGAGTTCCTGGACATGTCCGCAATACTTGCATACAATGTCTGCAAAGCCATAAGGTATATGTCCATGACTGGTATATAATTTCACGTCTCCGCTTGACCGGCGGGTCCTGCTTAAGAGTCGCATTTATCGGAGATGATGACATGGTCAGCACGGACTGTGCAGTGCATGAGGAAATTTCGACCATTGCGAATCAAGTAGAAAGGAAAGTTGACACCGAAATCGAGGAGACGACAAGAATTAAAGAGGACTCGATCAATGCTTGTGGCATGGGGCCTGGCGGACACCTGAGGCTGAGTGATGACATCAGTGTATTCAGTCTTAAAAAGAAATGTCTTCAAAGTGGTAATTTGCTGGGTGCATGCGTTAGAGGCATATGTTTTATGAGCTGTAATTGGGGACATATCCATGGATACGCATCAATTAGCCGTTCATTTCCAATGGCGAGGGCAGAATAAGTAACATTGAAACCTCCATAGGCTGGGCTAACGCCTGGGGTTATATAACAGTAGCGTTTCCTTTTTCCGCGTGGTTTGTCGGATAGATCAGATCACCAGCTGAGCCATGGGACGACGGTGACCACGACGGCAACCGGGTAGTGGAGATCCAGTTCACAGCCTCGGAAGCCACGAACGATGAGGGCGAGCAGCCGTTAGTGTATCGAACACGGGAGGAGACACTGGCCATGAAGGCAGATGCTGGCTAAACAAAGGGCCAACGCCAAGAGGGGTTGTCAAAAAGGCCCCTAACACATGTTTGATGAAGACTCGGGCTACGGGAAAGGGGTGTCGTGGTTTGATTAGCAGGAAGAAGCCCTGTAGAGACGCGTGCCAATAGCATCGTCAAGAGCAGGTGTTTGAAGGGACAGACAGGATGGGGGTGGCGGAAGGCTAGTGTGTTCGCAGCAGCATGTCGTGCATGGACGATGTTGACAACAAGGGTTCGGTTGTTTGGTTGCCAGGCAGATTATTTGCGTGGTTCGCGCGACATCTGGGGGCTAGTGCCGGATGCGGCCTAGCGCCCAGTGAGCATCCATCATCATACCAGCCTCCACAACAAACTCTCTCTTTCCTTGGTCAAAGAACGCAGACCCTGGCCTGCAGACGCGCTTCTCCCTCGCTCAATCCGCTCCTGTACAGCTCCCTCCTGGTCTCTCGCTCACTCTACCATACCGACATGGCCGCTACGCGCTGCTGAAAACCCTACCAACGTGCCTGTTTCGTCGCGTCGTGAGCTGCCACCACCATCACACGCTCACCTGCCCCTCCCGTCAGCCTATCCTGTACCACTACTCACCCACACTAACCCACTGCTGTTAATAGCGAGCTACGCATGGCAGCAGTGGCTGTTCCTCCCTCGCCGCAGGTTCTTACAGTCATGTCGAGCCGTCGCGTCCCTCTCGCCAATATTCAAAATGCAACAAACTCCCCAATGCGCGCCCCAGCTATCGGAGGAAAGCGCCAACGCTCCTACGCCAGCGAGCAGCGTGATGGAACCTATGGCCAGCCACCGCCCAAGAAGCAGATGGTAGAGGTCGACGATGCCGAGGCTCGTCGTCACGGCCTTGTGCGTCGTAGTGGGGCCCAACCAACTGCCTTGACCCGGAAGCTCGAAGCCGCACGAGAGACAAAGGCCCCTACCAAGCAGGCCGCACAGCGAGCCGCCCAGGACTTGGAGACCATTCGGCAATGGCAGCGCCATTACCGCAAGCTCTTTCCGCAGTTTGCCTTTTACTTTGACAGCGTCTCGGATCCGCAAAAAGACAAGCTTATGAGCAGAGCCCGCATTCTCGGCTCGGTACGCGTCCCCCCCTACTGTCACGTTCCCATTGTTAACACTACACAGCGCGAGGTTAAATTCTTCTCTCGAGAAGTCACCCATGTCATCACTACGCGCCCTGTTCCTGTCGACATTGACGGCAGCTCCTCCGCCCACAAAGGGACCGTCAACCCCGCCCAACTTGAAAACAAGAAGTCTGTGTTTGATGCTGCCCTTGAAAAGTCGGACCGTGGTGATATCCTGTACAAGGCTAAGAGCCTGGGGATGAAGATATGGTCGGTTGACAAGGTGCAGCGAATGATTGACACCATGTTCAACAAGGAGACGGGTGAAGATGTATCCAGCCACCCCACGCGTCAGAGCACAACCACGCAGCACAAAGGCCGTCCTGCAGATCTACAAAGGTTACTGCAAAATGAAAAGTTGGATCGCGACTACGTCATGGCTTCGCAAGACATGATCCCACTTCGTGGATACTATGTCTACGTCCATGACATGGATGAGGTCACGCGACCAGTTATGATTCGAGAATACCAAAAGGTCGAGAAAGAGAAAGGCAAGTGGCCGCAGTTCCGCGCCTCCGGTAACGGCAAGTGCCCGTTTGTGGAGGATCCTCATTTTGGCCGCAGACAACAGGAAGAGCAGGAAGCGCGTCGTAGACAATCAGCAGCAGCCCCACGCACGCGTGCAGTCTCTGCTATGGAAGAGAAGAACGCCCTTGTTGAGAACAACAACCTCGCCCGCCGTCCTAGTGCCCCCGCTGTCATCACCAAAGAAGAGACTGATGATGCAAAACCACTTGACCCACCAAAGGCCCTCCCCCCCAAGCGCTGTAACACAGCCGATGGCCAACCACCCATGTTTGGCAGCGCCCAGGCTAGCATCCGAGCAATGCCCCGTTGCATTGCTGGTGAGCCTGTCGCATCTGGATTGCAACAGTCGAATGTCACGTCTGCCATCCGTTCCCAAATGATTTCCTCCACCGCTGCTGCTCCTCGTGCCGGCAACAGCAAGGAAGTCAACCAGCTGAAACGAAAGGTCCTTGAGAAGAACAGCATGCCCTCGGCGAATACGAATAGTGGCCATTCGTCTGTAACCAATGATGTCAGGACCGCGCTTAGCCAGGAACACTCTCAACCCATGCGAGCAGCCAAGCGCAAAGCCCAAGAAACCTTGGGCCGAATGCATGACGATGGAGACGAAGAGAGACAAGCTCGTAAAGCCGCGGCTCTCCGCAGACGCAAGAATGTCGAGAAGGAGTTGAAGCCAGGTTACTGCGAGAACTGCAGGGAGAAGTTCAATGACTTCGACGAGGTACGACTAATGATCACAACCCTTTGAGCAAGTTACTAACAGCATACAGCACATTGTGTCCCGCAAGCACCGCAAATTCGCGGCAAACATTGACAACTGGGTTGAGCTCGACCAGCTACTCGCCCAACTTGACCGTCGGTGAGCCTTGTGGCTCATGCAGAATACGCGGTCACCCCTTGCATCTATCACGGCGTAATGGATGATTCCACTAATACCCACGAAAAGGACTCTTTTCCCCCTTTCCAATTCTCGCCTTGAGGCTCGCAGTTTTCGCCTGGGAGCAAATACCCCTTCTTCATAGCATTTCTGGCGTAGCTTTTACCCTCCCATTTTGGCGACCTAGCACAACCTGCTCATTTCCTTGCTCAGTATAGACCACGATCTCCGATCCCTGGTCGCTAACGATACACGCGTTCCTTTGTATATACCTATTGCATCATGGCCCTGTAGTCCTTTTTGCTGGTCATTGCGATTGCAAACCGGTTGGTTGGCGGTGTGCGCACGTGCGCGTGTGCTTGAAAATAGGCGTTGGTACCCATGGTGGTTTGAAGGACATTGTCATACTAAGAGAGGATTTGATGACGGATGAACGGGCTGATTATCACAATACCGGAGCTTATGTTTTTGTCACTATTGTTTCAGATATGTAGAGTACTAGATATCAATATGAAAGTGATACCGTATGTTGTTGCCTCTGCTGGTTCATTGTAAGGGATGCAGTCTGGGTGGTGGGGCGCTGATTGGCTAGGTTGACGTGCATGCCTTCCACCTGACCATCACTCTTGCCTTCACCTACACTCTCTTAGCCGTGTGTCAATCAGCGCATCACTCGGGTTCCCTCGCTACAACTTTGCTTTTCCTCATCGACAACCTTCATTTCTTGGTTTCTGGAGGCCTTGTCGCCCTCTCACCGAGGCAAACCTTCACCCGATTTACATCATGTCCGAGTCACCCAAAGAAAAGATACCAGAAGAAGATGACACAACAGAAGCGCCACTAAGCATGGCAGCTTCTGTCGTCCTAAGCAGCCTTCCGAAAGACGCATCCAAAGCGCTCGAAACGGCCGGGAACCTCAATGTTCAGAAAGGTACAGCCTAGCTCATTACAGTCCCCCACTTGTTTGACATGTGCTACTGTCCGAATCTATCCTACCACATAACGTTTTTTTTCAGCAATTTGATACGCCTTGGGCTAAATCATTCATCTGCAGTAACTATCCGCCTCCAACCCATAGGCTCAGCCCCGCATCTCACTCAACGTATCTTCAAACTCAGCACCAATCAGAATTTTGCAACCATAGTCCGTTTTCTGCGCAAGAGACTGGGCGTGAAAGAGCATGAGAGCGTATTTTGTTATGTGGGAAATGTGTTTAGTCCTGGGTTGGATGAGGGCGTGGGCAACCTATGGAGCTGTTTCAAGCAAGGAGAGGAGTTAGTTGTGGGGTACGCTCTTTCACCGGCTTTTGGGTAGCTGGAGAACAAGAAGGAACGATGGACAGGAAAGATGAGAGGTTGGTGTCTTGGAGAGACATGCAATGTCTTGACAATATGTTGATGACTGCTATTTATCAGGCTGGATCAGTGGCGAAAGTCATTGACTCGAAGACTAGTAGAGCCCGAGTGAAGTATCTAAAACTTTTTTGTCTCTGGAAACAACACTCAAACAAAATCAGGAACATGGCTTGAATTAGTTAATATTCACGATAGACGACGAAAAGGCTTGAAACTTCGCCGGCCCGACTAGCGTATGTTGACGGCAGAGTGATAGGCCATTGGCGTGGCTGAACGGAGTTCCCCACCTCAACACCACTGCTAAGCCACCGCCAATAGACCACGGAATCTAGACGGCTGAGACGGCCGAGAAAGCATGGGTTGAACTGCCGTTTTTCTTTTTAATACCGCGATGGCGCCGCGCTAGCTGAGGCTTGACATTCTTCATTCCTTACCCCACTGGAAGGTCTGGTCGTAGATGTACACAAGTCGCTACGCAGGACGAGCATTGCCACCCACATAGTCTCAATCAACGGCAGGACCTTGGATATATGATACTACAACATGCCATCTAAAGGAGTCAAATGCTTTGCATACATTGCAGTCGATGGAGTCGAGATTGAATACACCGTTCCAAAACGAAGCGCCAGGCGAAGTGAACAACGCGAGTTTCTCTTTGACCACCTAGAAATCGAGTCATCCAACCTCCCCCGTTTTAAATTCACTGGAAACTTTGAATTCATTGTCCGCCGCGACGGTCGGGAACTGACGAAGCAATGGGTCGCAGTAAACAGCATGACAGGCAAAGTCGAAGACGGCACAATGGTCAACATGGAGCAAACACCGGCCCTGTTCCCAGAAGACGTCGTGATAACCTACGGCTTCTACGACGCCGGACCGGGACTTGCAGAACTACCAAAACAACACCAATGCTATGTAACTGTAACACCCAACTATGAAAACTGGATGCGCGACAAGATCCCCCAGGACTCTGATCTTGCCAACCGCCCCTTCCACAAGATGGTCCTACCCTCAGCCCACGACATTGGCATGAACAACATGTCATCCAGCTTGTCTCTGATCAAAAACGCTGGCACAGGCCTCATTCGCGAAGTCCTCGGCCGCTCCCTCCCGCGCGCCTTATCCATCCTCAACAAAGTCAGCGACGGAGCCATCAACCACATCGCGCCCGACATCATCCGCGCGCTCGCCATAACCCAGAAGGACACCCTCGACTCTATCCTGAAAATCGGCGCCCGATACTTTGAATTCCGCCCCGCAAAATGCCACCGCCAGCTCCACTCTCTCAGCTCCCTAGACGACACTTTATACTTCCAGCACGGCGCTATACCAGGGATGTCCTACCGCGTCCTCCTCGACCACATCACCCGCTTCCTCGCCTCGCACCCCGACGAAATAATAATCATCCACAACCGCTGGGACGGCGTCCCAGACGCCTGCCCGCGACCCAACCCTCAGGAACTCCACGCAATCCTATCCCCCCTTTTATCCGACAAAAACCTCCAAATAGGCTCTCAAGACGATATGCAAAACTCCTCCATTCACAATCTGCGCGAACAGCACAAACGCCTAATCATTCTCTCCGACTTGCCCCAATACTCAAACTACGACGACGACGCAAATGCAACACTAACTGGCGATTCCATGCTCGATCGCTTACGTAACATGTGCGAAAACCCGGATACAGAGAATAGAGCGCCCGTCACGCTGCTGCAATGTCAGGCTACAGCTACCAACATCAGAGATGTAATCGTCGCGACGGTCCTGGATAGCGATGTTAGTACCAGTCCCATTCTCGCTACGAAACCCGTGTGCGATGCCAAGATTCTGCCCTTGTTGAAGGGGGATGTGGGGAGGAAATTGGTGCGCGAGAGGGAAGGGGTTGTTGTTTTTTTGAATGATTTTTTTGATGGGGCCACGGCGGATGTGGCGGTTGGGGCTTGTGTGGAGAGGTTGGGGTGAAAAAAAGGGGAGGAAAGGGGGGTGTGAAGAAGTTTAGTTTTGTAGGGGAAGATGGGAAGGCTGTGTGGTGTGTATTTATATAAGACGTGGAAGAGGGGTAGTGATGTGATTTGGTATAAGAATCTATGTGTAAGTATGCCGAGAGGAGATGGGAGACGAAAAGACGGATAAGATGAGAAAACGATAATTCAGAAACATGACACTTCCCTCCCCTTACTATGTGATCTAGGCGTATGACGCGTTCAACGTCGTACGTATAACATTTCCCATTTCCCTTTGCATAGTTCCCGTATGAAAATGCAGCGACAAAAACGTTCCCAGAGGAGAGAGACACATACATCGGAGCCACTTTCCTCCTAGCATCCCCACCCCCTTCATCTACCTGCACCTCATCCATCTCATCCCCATCATCATGCCAAATAATGAAAAGTAGCAACACCAAAAACACCTCCCGGCCGAACCACGAAAAAGTCTCATGTCTTGAAGTCCTTGGGCAGTCAATAATCATCCATCAATTGAGGCGGTACGCAGAAGTCTATCGCTGGTTGAAGAACCAACTTGTCCTCTTGCCCTTGCTTGAATCGCTGCCGTTATCGCCGTCCTGCTTCTGGAGATTGCCAATGACTGGGAGCACAGGGCCGTCCGCAACGGCACCACCGCCGCCACGAAGGGGCTTGGCGATGCGAGAGCCGACGCCGCCAAAGCCAGCGTAGGAAGCGCCGTTGGCGGGCGAGCCGAGACCGCGTGTTGAACCTGCCTTTGCGGCTTCGAGACGCTCCTTGACAGCCGTGAGTTGGGCTTCGAAGCTGTAACAGGTTAGCACGTGCTTTCGGCAAAAGCCTTTGCCCAACATACCGATGGTTCGCTGCAGTAAGCTTCTCTTGTGAATCTTGGAGAAGGTTCTCGAGCGACTGTATCCGCTCGTTGCGGGCAATGAGTTTACGCTCTGCAATGGCAACTTCCTTCTTCAAGGAGCTGTTCTGCTCAACGAGCTGGCGCTGAACAACGGTGAGCTGTTCAAGGTTGCGCTCGAGGAACATCATCTTCTTCTGCTGTGCGCGGTTGTTCGATGTACGGAGCACATTGTTATACTGCTCGCGTGTCTCGTCCAACGAAATCTCGAGCTCAACAACCTAACTAGGTATTAGCATCCTGTCTCCTACCAAGATATCAATAAACTTACCCGTTCGCAGCGGTTCTGTAGATCACGCATGAGACTCTTCTTCATGTTATCAAATTCGGCAATTTGCTGCTGCACAGTCTTGCCGTTGATGCCGTTGGCAACGCCGTTGGCAATAGCGCCGCTCTTGATGCGCGACTGGAGACTCTCGTTCTCAGCCCGGAGCTTCTTGGCCTCTTCAACGAGACGCGCAGTGTCCTGCTTGAGGGTTTCAACAAGCTCGAGATTACCCTCTTGGCGAGCCGAGTAAGCGTCAGCAAGTCGCGCCTTGACCTCCTCCTTGTCTTGCTCAGAGAGATTACCCTCAAGGAGCTCCTCGTACTGAGCTTGCAGAGTGTCGCAGCGTGCCTCGAGTGCTTCGCGGCGCTTAGCGTGTGCAGTGTCCTCCTCACTTCGTGCAGTTAGGGAAAGCTCTGCTTGTCGCACAATGCCTTGAGTCTCGACAATCTTTTCGCGCAACTCTTGGATGGCATCCGGTGCGATTGCCTCGCCTGCTGAGCTCATCTCGTGAAGCTGGTCGAGCTGCTCGATAATCTTGCGTATGGTACGCTCGTTGTCGCTGAAGACCTCACCACCAAGATCGAAGCCAGCCATCATCTGCGCCATGGCTTCGGCCTTCTTCCTCTTCTTCTCGTCCATGGCAGCAGATGTCTCCTTGGCGTTCATCTTTGCGTCTAGGAGCTGTTGCTTGACATCGTCAAGCTCAGCAGTGAGCTCAGCATTGGCCTCCTTGAGTCCATCCATGGTGATCTGCGCCTCCTTGCCCTCGAATTGGATCTTCTCAACTTGCATCTTCATCTCGTTGAGTTCGAGGGTGATTCGCTCATTGTCCTTGTTGGTCTTGGCGTCGCGGTCCTTGTAGTACTGCAGCTCATCTTTGACAGTCTTGAGCTGATCCTCAACCTTTGCGAGCTGCGACTCCCTCTCGGCGACCTGGTCTTGCAACTCATTCTCTCTTCGCAGGAAGTCGTCCTTTTCGTCCTTGTCCAGCGGTATGCTCGGTGTTCCTGCGCGGTCCAGATCTAATCTAGAGTCCGGACGTGGTGTTTCCGCATTTCTTGTCGATTCCACTCTTGATGGCGTCGCCGGCCGTGCCAACGAGGACGACTTCTTGTGAGAAACTGTGCTAGTCTCGAGCGGTGGTATCCACTTGTCTTTTGGTACCGTCTCTCCTCCACGCCATTGTGTTACTTCGCTCTCTAGTTGGCCAATGTAGTTTTCAAAGGTAGTGACCTGGCCTTGGACCTTCTTGAGCATCGCCTTGAGCTCAGCCGGACTCAGCTCGGCATTGACCTTTGCCTTGTTCTTGATTGTCTTTGCTCGCATACCGAACCGGAGTGTGCCCAATGTTTCGACGTCATTGTAACTACTTGGAGAGCAGTTGATGATCAACGTGGTTCGCGAGTTACCACCTAGCGATTCCTGAAGAATACGGGTGAGTTTAGAGTCTCGATAGGGAATGTGCTGCGTCTTGCTGTCGGTCAAGCAGTTGATGACCATACCAAGGGCACTCAAACTCTTGTTGATCTTCTTGGCTTCTTCCAACGTTTGTCCACTTGCGCCCGTCTTGCCAACCTTTTCGGAACCTGCCAAATCGACCAGGAAGAGCTGACCGCTCTTCAGCGAGCCCGTCTCGACATTCTTTTGGTTGACTGTGATGACGAAAATAGAGTGCGATCGCGACGACTCCTGGTTCATGTTCGTTGCTGAGACGGCTCGTGCGGAGCCACCCCTCCTCAGAACCTCGTAGACCTCCTCTTCGCTCGAGACATATACTTCAAGCAGACCCTTGACATACACACCTCTACTCTTTTCCT